ATGTCTTTTGGAAGTTCCTTCAGTGTACACTGGGCCCGGACAGCCACAGCATCGAGAATGACCCCGACAGTTTGCGCCTGCGAAAGGAGCTGGAAGTCATCAAGAAGCGTCGTGATGGGGTGCGCCGCTATTTTGTCTGCCATATCTTTCATTTTGACCTGTCTCATTGCAGTTATGTGCGCGTCGTCTGGCAACGGCAGTGCGGAAGAAGTTCCGCCGTCCTGTTCTTCGCATCGTCTCACAGCCGGCCTGTCATTCAGATGACGAGGAGATTCCACTTGAGCAGCGGGATCGACAGGAAAGGAATGCACCAACGCGCGTCGTCCGCACCAAACCTGGCCGAAGTGTTTGTGTTCAGGCACTGTTTCGGTATCTTGATCAGCAGGGTAAACTGGAGTGGGACAATAATCCTTCAGGCAAACCGTAAGAGAATCGACAACTCCTGCCTAAGCACTTCTTTACTAACGGCACACACAGGCCGCCGAACCGTAGAATCGTCAACCCTCTGGAGCCCAGCTGTCTCTCACGTATTCTTCCTCCCGCTATCTCCTTCGCCAAGGGTGAGAATGAAGCGGAACAGGAGCTAATTCTCCCCATGGATTACTTCGAGCCAAGTTTCTTCAATGCGATGGATGTACGAGATCGTGCAAACTACTCCGACGATGCCACCATTGCCTTGCCCGACATTGCATATTGCCTCAGTCAAGAAGGCTTCGACATGTGGAAGGAGGAGAGGAATACCTCATTCATGCAACGCTTCGGCAAGACTGTGCATGCACGCTACAATGTTCCGACGGATGAGGAGATAGCGGAAGAGAGGGCTCGCAGAGACCGAGAGGCAGATGGAGAAGAAGAGATTATACACATGGAGGATTCGGACAGTGAAGACGAAGAAGATGCGGCGGCGGCTCCTCCTCCTCCCCCACCCCCGCCCCCGCCGGCACCACCAGTATAATACGGACAAATATGTCCCATTTTATCGCATTTATAGTAAACAGCATAGATACTGCAATAATATCAGCCATGCAGCACGGACCATGCACAACAAGCACACACCTTCAATTGACTTTCAAGCCACATCTATACATCCACCCTTCACTTCCAAAGAGCCTCGGGGAGTGCTGCTGGACTGTAGCGCGCGGGAGATTGAGAGAGAGGCAGTGACAAGCGAGCGGCGAGAGCACCGCTCGCCCGTTCAGGCTGAAATTTTCAGTGTCTGGGGAGACACCCCACTGGCGCCAAACGCCGCAGTTTGCCGCGAAATGGTCGATGATTCAGCGCGGGGTAGGGAGCGGAAATCGGAGATGGCAAGTGGCGGCGGGACGCAACGCGTGGGCTGATGACTGCTGTGTGCGCAACAATGAAAGCGCCTGGGGTGGCCAGTAAGAGGGCGCGGTTTCGCAGGATTCTGCGGAGAAACACGCCCAGGGCAGCCGAGGCAATTTTATGCATGTTGTGTCGGCCAACAAGCGTCAACGGCGCGTCCAGCAGTCTCGGTCGTCGAGATGTGGGAAGGGAAGGGGCGTCCCGGAAGCTCCTCAAAAAATGGAGGGGAACGGACAGGAATTGGCTGTAGGATGGTGAGGACAGTATCCGGTGAGGTGGCCGAAATTGGCCGGTTTTCACGACTCACCTTCCGTCCCCAGCTTTCTCTTCCCCTCTTCTACACTCCCCCCACCTCATTCCCCAGCATTTCTCCCCGCATCACCGCCGTTCTACGCGCGCGCGCTGTCGTCCGAGGTGGTGGATGGGAAGAGGTTGGCGTGAGAGGCCGGCGTGACTCGGAGTCACCGACCGGAAGCGCCGGTCACGCGGAACACAGGCCAAGCCAAGGACGATCCGCAATTCTCGCCCGCCAAGATCGCCGAGATCGAGAGCGGTGCTTTGCTGTGCTTTGCGAATTCATCAGTCAATACTTGGGAGGGGCGGCGGTTTTGGTGGTGCTAGTAGAAGGGCGAGCAGTGGTGAATGTGGCCCCGAAGCGCAGTGACGAGGGGAGGTGGGGGAGCTGGAGGGAAGGGGCCGGTGTGGGAGTCCAAGCGGGACACATGACTGATGTCTGTGATTTCTGCGAGATAGGCAGATGACCCTCGAACACAACTCGAACGCGATGTGCGTCATCGGTGCCGGCTCAGGTAACAGCGCCCGCCGCCCAGAGACTGATTCTGGTGGGCAGAACCACAGGAAGTGATCTGCGCAACGAGCGTGAGTGCCTACCAGGCTGTTCAGCGGGTGCCTCAGCAACTAGTATGATCAATATACCACCATAAGCACGTGCATTGGAGCTTACGGCGCTTGGGTGGCGCAGTCTCCGGGCCCGTGTCCGCGTGCCTGTGAGTCTTAGTGATTAATGAAATGAAATGTTTCTTTCAGATGAACAAAGAACTTTTCTTTGTTTGACTGGCTCCCAGCCAAACCGCCGTTGGGTCTGCCATAAGGGCTGCCAGCCACGCTGTCAGTGAACCTGACATCCGGCCGTCATCTCCCAGCCGCCGTTGGCATTGCCACCGGTGTCAGCCTCCCCACCATTCATGCAAACCAGAACTGCACTTAATATGTCTTATAATGTTTGCCCCAATTCATCATCCAAGAATATATAGAGATTAAATCAAGTATACTACCCTCTACATGCTTCCTACCTTCATCTCATTGAGGAGTACTCACTTCATGAGTTACTGTAATGCAAGATTTGAATCACAGGATAGATACCATATATTCAGACAGAGACAGTTAAATATATGTGTGTTTTTCAGAGCTATGAGGAACATCCATCAATACAACTTAGATTGTGATTATTAATGAATTTGTCAGGCAGATATCAAGATATCAAGATATCATTGTGCCTAATCCAATTTGAAACTAAAAACCCTAGAAAAGGAGTATCATAGCAAAGGCTTAAGGGATAGATAGGACTATGCTTACATCAGAAGATATCAAGATTATATCACTACCTACCTATCAGTGGACCAATCATCTGAATTCATGGAGAACTAGTGAAGATATTGTGAGATCGATTTGTTTGATAGATGATTATTAGATCGTATGATAATACTGATAATATTTAATTTCAGGGATATTCATCTTAATATTTAGGGATCCTGAGGAGTGATGAAATCAACTTTGCAGCTTCTCTAGTTATCAAGATATCATCTTGTCAATTGTATTTCAGCTAATGATTGGCCAGTGCTCATATGATTGTTCAACTGCCACTATAGGTCACTTGATGAACAGACTATTTCTAAAACATATACCATTAGTAAATAAATAAACTTACTATAGCATTTTACTCATTTTGAATGTCACCTGTCACTTGTCATACTCACCATATTCATATTATACAAAATCTTTTGCATGTCACACTAGATTTGCTATTTTCATATCACAAAAGAATTGCCTAATAAGGAAATTATATGAATTGAGATTTTTTGTATAGGATGTCACAGCATTTTTGCCATTCAAATCAAGTAAAATAGTACAGTATACCTATATGAAATAAAATGAATATAACTTGCCATTTTTGGCATGACTTCACATACGAAATTTGCAATTCATATGATGGCATCAAATTGCCCAATTAGGCAACGTTACGTACCCCATGTGCAGAAAATTGTCATAAATTACCATTTTGGGAAGGGATTTTTGAAGATTTGCTGTGACATACGAAGAAATGTTGCATAAATTGACAGGTGTGACATGTGACATGCAAATTGAGTAAAATACTACAGTAAATCAGAGACTTGTTAAATTTTCATTTGTAGGGTTGAACCTTGTTCTACAGCATTCTGGATTATTTAAAACTTATTGAACATAAGATTAACACCAATACATACTGCAAGGCTCAGGCAACGGGTTTTGGCTGCACGCCGGGACGCTTCGGCTACACACGAACAAAATCCGTCAGTAGCGAAACCCAAGGCTCGGTTAAGACTACACACCACGGTGCTGGGCGGTGCCGCCGGTCGGCCAGGCTATCATACATCAGTCGATTAGAGGGAAGGAAGGTATACTAGTATCGCGCACCCCGGCCGGATTCTTAAGTACGCCGCCAGCAGCAGCACCGGTCGCAGGGTTGTTCAGCGGGCCCTGTGTATCCCGCGTTAGCTCAGAATTTCTCATTGATTGGAGGTGGGCCGCACCGCGGCAGGCTTCCGCGTTGCGCCGAGCTTCTTTCCGGCGGCCTTGGCCGGGGCGGCACCGGCAGGGCCGAACGTCAGTTGCATGGTTTGGCCAGCCTATAGGGCTCTTAGCCAGTGAGTGCGCTGGGAAAATAGAAGACACACAGCGGCGGCTTTTGGTCGGCCCGCGGCTGCGGCAGCGCCGGCCGCTTGTTTAGTTGGCTGCGGTTGACGTCAGCCTTGTGCCAGTGACCGGACGCCGACATTCATATTGAACGCTACTCACCGGCTTTTTCGCGGCGGCACCTGTCTGTCGGACGACAAGCCCCTGTCGCGATTGGTTTCAGCTTACGACTGGTCACGGTGGTGGGAGGCAGAGCGTACGCACCTCGCGAGGTCCCGCAATTGGCGCAGCAAAGCTCTGCAGCGCGACGAGGAGGGTGCAGACGAGCGGGAAGGAGAAACGCATGGTGGACAAGTGGAAGGAAAAGAAAAGCGCAAGGCACGGCCTGTACGGAGCGGAAACGAGCGGAGAGAAATAAAAGGGGGGACGGGGAAGCGGTCAGGATCGGTATAAGTACCTCCCGGTGGGTGGAAGATAAGGGTGGTCGATCGCTCTCCCTGCATGATGCGCGGACGCACGCGTTGATCATGGTAATTAGCCTAGGCAAAACGCCAAAATTAGTCTTGGACCAGGGATCGATCCGCCCCGCCTACTCCTCTTCAACGCGGCCGACAATACTGCCTGCTTTGCATCCACTAAGAGCGACAGTAAGGTGTTGAATAAAAAAAAATTGAGCATATGTACATACACAAGCCGCTGCTATAGTCTGTGCTCACCATAAACCTCCGGCATATCGAGACAAAAAAAGAAAGGCAGAAAAATCAAGACCGACTCCTCGGTCTTCTCCGCGCGCCGTCTGCCGTCTGCCCATCCATGCAGCCTGAGCTGACCGACGACGAAGACGTTCGATGCTCCGCAGCCTCCAGATCCCCGGCGGTTGGGCCACCGCCAACCGCACCCACTTGCGCCTCCGGGGCCGCATGTTTCGCGTCCATCTCGCTCCACACGCCAGCCGCAGTGCGAGCACGCACGCGAAAGCTGACATCATCGGGTTGCGCCGTTAGTGGGAGCTGTGCTGTGCCCAGTTGCGAGCCACCATACCGACGAAGCCGTTCACGGCCGTTCAAACTGAAAAACTTATGAGGAGAGACCAAGGACAACCACCGGTGACGTACTGCGCGAGCATCGAGTTGGAGTACACTAATAAAGTCAGTTCCCTGCGGAGAAACATGATTGTAGGGCCTACGTTTCGGCTGGACTAGGAAGAAAGTCATCCATGCTACTGTGGAGATATCAGCGCTAGGTCGAAGGGACCAAATGGCGTACAATCAGGCCTGGAGAGGAACAATACTAATTCCAGGAGCCCGGCAGCTGCTGTCAGAGACGTAGTTTCTACGGAAAACAGTCAACTCGTCACGGTGTGCAGGATTGAGACATCCATACCGATGCACCACACGATCAGCGTATCGACCATTTTACGCGTTCTGAAAACGTCGAGTGAGGGGAAACGTGGAATAATACAAAACGCACTGTGGAAAGTCCGTCTCATGGCGCTTCACGAGCAGACACCAGCACATCGAGCCCGATATGAGCATGTCGACGACGAGGCCGATGACAGAAACGGTGACCATCTCCCAGTAGAGCTCCTCGTAGATGATGCGGAAGCCGGGCGAGTCCCAGAAGAAGACCATCATGACGAGCTGGATCGAGAGGCGTACGGTGGTAAGCACAAACGCCAGGATGGTGATGGGCCAGTGGCCGGAAAGGGTGCGGATACGAAGCGCGAAGAACGTCTGCGAGTCGTCAGCGTCATAAAGTAGGAAATCGGATGGCGCACTTGGACGGTGATGTTGGTGAGGGCAGAGAAGAGCACTGTCAGCTCGAGCGAATGTGGCGGGCGCAGAACGTGCGAGGGTTGGCCATAGAATGTGACGGTGATGCTGTAGAGCTACAAGATGTCTACAGCAGGCCTCAGGCGAGAGGACGACGGGCTTACCGCGTGCCAGAGGGTCACAGAATGCGCTAGCCCGACGGACCTGCCCAGCCGTCAGTCAACCCCGCTCGCCAAACGCCGGCCTCACCAAACAGTTGCAACCTACACCAACGATGAGGTCAAAAGGGTAAGATTCTTTGGGACGCACCGCGGTTTTCAGCGACTTTGGATCCTTCGTATACTCGTAGTAATAGTTGAACACCTGCAACGACTCTATTCCAAACAGGAAGGTACCCACGACAGCGCCGACGAGCGTCGCGCCGAGCGAGCCGTCGAGATGAAGCGAAGAGGGAGGGGCGGACATGGGCGGGAAGGAAGCGGGGTGGGCTGTCTCAGCGGCCGTCTTGTTGGCCAGAAATGGGTGCTTCGGCGCGGAACGGAGTGGGTCTGAGACATGGAGCGGGTCGCGGGTAATGCACAAGTAGGTCCGCGGTGGACGTCGGTAACAGGGAGGTCACGGTCCCTGTAAGAATTCGGGATATGCAGTGAGGTGCTCGCTTCTGCTGGCGGGTACAAGAGAGAGGGAAAAAAAAGAGGCGATTTGTCAGCTGATTGACAGCACACGTCATGCAACTGACGCGTCGGCTTGTTGACGATTGCAGGCAAATTGCAAGTGAGGTCTTCTGCGCCCATCCGCGTCTCAGCACTCCACACAGCACAGGAGAACCCGCCGCCTCCAGCACGGTACCATAATCATGTTTCGTCGTCCGTCCGGCAGCCGATAGCACTGTCCACACAACCGGGGCGGCATGTACTTATAAGCACTGGTAGCAAGTGCAATGACAGTTGGCTAAGGGGGGTCCAACGGGAGTTTGAAAGCAAATTTTTTTCCTTTGTTTGAAACAAAGAAATCTTTGTCTTTCTTTCCACTCCCGTTGGGGCTCCCATTAGCAAACTGCCTTTGGGTTTGCACCCAGTGTTAGTTGGCCACCTGTGTTTGCACAAGCGCCTGAAATGGTCACCCGTCTTATACTGGGGTGTGTGCGGCACCGACCTCGCGGTTGTCTCCGGAGGTGCAGGACTTTTTATTTCTGTTTTTTTTTGTTGGGGTTAATATGCGGCGGGTATATGGCCCGGCTCGGCCCGCCCGGGACTTCTTTTAACCTTTAGTACTGATTTATGTACGGTGTTAATAGGGGTCGGCCGCCACCCCCAACGCGGTCCACGACTATGGCGTAGTCCCACCGCGAGCAACCCTCGCATGCAGTACAGCACGGCATGTACAGGCTGTCAGTACATTATAGGGTGCAGTTTTTAAATATTTGGGTATTAAAAAACGGTTTATAATTTTTGGTATCCCAAACTAGTGTTTATAAACTGGTTTATAAACCAGGCAACCAAACATGTGATATTTTTGATGTCATGATATAAATTTTTGCAACCTTACATTCTAGCTGAAAGGGTTACCTTCATACCTCTTTTCTCTCAGTAACCTGTGGTACAGGTCATAATCTACTATATATAATGTATAGGACTTATAATTAATAATGTTGATCAGCTGGCAGTAGTTGGATCACTTACGTCACGTGACTAGCCGGGTTTATAAACCAGAGACCTAGTGAAATCTTTCTAAACCAGTGTTTATAAATACTGGTTTATAAACCGGTTTGTAAACCGGATCAAAAAACTGCACCCTACAGTACAAATTGACTGGCGCTCAGAGAGCATCGGTCTCGGTTACTTCAGCCGCGGCCGGTCTGCTTGGCTTTTGTGTGTTTTATCTACTGTAGCATTTTATTCAATTCGGCGCCCGGAAATCGGTGTGACATCGGTGCCGAAATGAAATGTTCGGCATCTGGTAGCTCCAAGTGTGACCGCCGAAAATTTTGGGCAGATTTCGGCGCGGCCCGCAGGGCCGCGCCAGCCAAAAATGGTACATCAGCCGAGGGAATTCGGCGTCTAGGCTGTCGAGTGTGACCGCCGAAAAAATTTCGGCATTTTAAGGCCGGTGTGACGCGTGACCGCCGAATTGAATAAAATGCTACAGTATCGGATATCCTTATCTATCTTCACAAATCTGGTGCGGCGCTGCCTTCGACTCTTTAACGTTCTTGACCACCGGCAGTTCTACAGCCCAGTTGCTACAGCAACAGATCTTGCACAGCAATTGCTGTTTATTCTATCGCATGCTGCAGCCAAATGAATTCAAACAGCAGTAACGCCGTAATATGTAATCGCCTTGCCTGGTATAAAACACACTCGTTCCTCCTCGCAACACACCGTTACACACGATGACGAACCCTGATGTGAATCTGGAAATCACGGACTCGGATCCCGATCACGGCGATACGGAGCGTGGGAAGGTCACCAGTGCTTCTTCTTCTTCCCCTCATCCCGAACGCTTCACCGAGGTGGCTGACGCGGACGCCAAGCCTGCAGCAGAGGCTGCTCCGGGTATCGACATGCCACTCGAAAAAGACAACTTGGAGGGAGTAATCGAGGCCGACTCACCCGTCGATGCAGAGCCGGAGGGTGAAGATGGGGCTCCTCCAGACTCTGAAGATGAAGCGGAGGATGAAGAGGGCGAGCCCGAGCTAGACTCAGAAGAGGAGCGCGAAGAGGCTTTTTATTGGCACACCCAAATCATCAACGAGCTCTACCGAGCATGTCGGGACGCCTCGCCGCTCAACGGCGGGTACAACTACCTCTCCACGCTGCCCGGCGTCGACAGGATGGGCAACATCAGGCACACCGCCCGCGCCGAGCGGACGGGCGAAGTCGTGCTGCTCCGCGTTACCCCGCTTGTGCCGCCCGTCGAGCGCTTTGCGGGCCAGCGGCTCATCAACGAGCTGTTTCTCATGCGTGATATGCGGTCCTCGCCGAATATACTTGGGTTCTACGACCTCTACCTGAGCCAGGACGACGAGGAGCTGGACATTGGGGAGGGCAAGAGCGATGTGTGGCTCGTCCAGCAGTATATGGCTGAGGGCGCGAGTCTTGGGGAGCTGGTGGCGTACAACAACGGCCCTGGCGGGTTCACAGAGGAGCAAGTCGCCAAGATATGTCTCGAAGTGCGCCGTTTTTCAGCATCAATTTTCGTTTACTGACTTCACTTGAAGACAGCGAAGGGCCTGGCCCATCTTCACGAGCAGCTCATCATCCACCGCGACATCCGCTCCGACTCGCTCCTCATTGACCCCACCGGCCGCGTCAAGATCACCAACTTCGCCTACGCCGTGCAGCTGCCGACGATCCAGTCAAAGCGTCGCACGATGGTGAGCACGCTCGCGCTCCCCGCCCGCTCGCCGTATACCCCCGACAAGACGCACTGGACCCCGCCCGAGGTGATCCGACGGCGGGAATACGGCATGGAGGTCGATGTGTGGGCGCTCGGCATAACGATGATGGAGATGCTCGACGGGCGGCCGCCCCATTCGGGCAACGCAGCATTGCGGGTGCTGTTCCTCATCCTCATATCGGGGACCCCGAAACTTTCTCGGGAGGATGCGGACGCGTTGGGCCCTGATCTACGGGAGTTCTTGGGCCGCTGTGTGGAGGTGGACGTGGACAAGAGGGCCACGGCGGAGCAGCTCGTCGGGGTGCGTTGTCTTGTGTCCGCTCTTTGATCTGTATTAATTCCGGACAGCATGATTTTCTCCAGCGCGGATGTGCGCCGATTGGGCTGGCGTCTCTGTTCGAATACCGCACCAGGGAGCCGCCGCCAGACTCAGATGATGAGGAGGAGGTGCAACCGCAAACCGAATTGACAGCGGCTGGGGAAGCAGTCGTGTCAGAGCTTGTGGCAGATGTGGAGGAAGGCGAACGAAATGATCCCTCTGTGGAAGGGGCAGCAAAGACATAAAAAGTCGAGGAGGTTTCAATGATTTTTACTATTTGGCTCCATGTACATCGGTAGACTGGGACCCTCCATACACTTCTCTTTGACTTGTACTGTGCCTTCGCGGACAACGGATTGAATTCATAAAAACGAGGGTATTCGACGCGGATGGAAAGATAATCATCGAAGTGGTTACGGGTATAACGGTGTTTGTGTTCATCTAACCATAACGAACGACTCCGTGCGTACGTGCACCCGGCGCAATTCTTCGATGCCTTGGTCTTCGCTGACCGTCACGCGGAAGCCCGATACGGCCGGGATGCTCGACCCTGCGCCGGTGGCCATGACGCCGATGTCGGCGTGCCGATGCAGGTTCAGCATCAGCCGCGAGATCATGGTGACCGCGATTCTGCCGGTGTGCGGGCCGTGAGCCTCGGAAGCAACAGAAGAAAGGGACGAACGTGGAGGCGAACCAGGAGAGGCTGTCGGCTGTCCATTCCTGTCGGCCGAGTGAGTCCGATCTCAACCGAGGCGACTGAGACGCACGTCGCCGAGCTGCGATGGCAATGAGCTCGCGTTGCGGAAGCAAGAGGGGGCATACATAGTACATCAGAATGTTAGCAGCGTTGACCAGCCCGAGGACGCTATCGCACCCGTCAGCTTAAGCTTGCGGCATGGTCTGGGGTCAGGACTGACGCGAAGTACAGGGATCCTTAGTAGCCATTTGATTTGGCATTATCACCCTATGCGGCACAAGGGAAGACGCACCATCGCGGATGAGTGTTGTGATGAGCGAGTCGTGGAGGCTGTACCTGTGGTAGAGCGAGCGCCAGAGTGTAAGCCCGAAGATGAGGATGTCGCAGACGAGCCTTGTGTGCGTTCAGGGCGGGAGGAAGTCTTGGTAGGCGACATACTGGGATTGCCAGGCGAGCGCCAGGCCTAAGAAGACAAGTCTGGTAAATATACCAGGGAAAGAGAATGACGCACGACGAGCGCTGTAATACAATAAGATTGGTACATAGCATTAGAAAACCAACGCACAGATGCGGGCTGACTGCATAGTGACAGCCCGTGAGCGCGGCATTCTCGAGATACACCGACTGTGACGTGTCCGCTGCGAGGAGTGCATGCTGTCCGAAGATAGACCACTGGAAAGTTCTCTAATGCAGTCTGGCAATGAAAAGCAGACGCACAACAGCGGCGACGACGGCACCAGTGCCCACGACGGCGAACAGCGCGAGGATCCCCCGGTGGCAGTTGTAGAGGGCATACACGCGGAGAACGAGGATGACTGGTCTCCGAAATATGCCATAAGTAGTAGTCGGGTGAGCTTAAGAGATGGTTCACACCCCCGGCGAGCGCACACTGCACCACAATAAGCGCCACCTTCGCGAGCGTCCATATATGGCATTGCTGAAGCGAGCTCAATATTAGTATTGTCGGACATCGTTGGAACGCACCTCATACGGGACCGGGCCGAAGTTGAGGAACAGCATAGCGACAGTGCCCCCGAGCGCAAGGTAGCGCAGCGGCACGAACAGCCAGAAGCTTAGCCGTCTGTGCTTTCTCCAGACGAAGGCGAGCTCAGGCGCGAGCGTCAAAAGATGGTCGTAGACGAGGATTACTGCCGCAGTGAGTCGGCTGGAGGGAATGCAGAGAAAGGAGGGGGTCACCGGAGGGGATAAGGTACCAGTAGTTGGACCAGCGGCTGGGGAGATGAACTGGTGAGCGCGGGGAGGAGAGACAAGGACTACTAACTTTTCGCGGATGAACGTCGCTAGTGCTGCAGCCTCCGCCTCGGACTCGTTCCAGTGGGCAATTGCACTTGGAAACATCCTGCCCGTGTGAGGTTGAGATAGCGGTCGGGAGAGGTCAAACTTGAAGGAGAGTGTGCAGAAGAGAGCGTGATGCACTGCAGCTGGCAATGCAGATGGCCACCGCCCGCGAGTCATCCCATCGCATCTCGGCGACGGCGCTGTGTGAGCAGGAAGCCGTATTGTTAGCAGAGAAGTCAGGGAGCACGCTGGCATGCGTCTCGTACTTACCTTTACCACTTTCGCACCGTGTAGATCGGCATGCGCAGAATAGCCCAACCGAAACCATCCATCTCTCTGCTGAATGGTAGATCACCGTTGGCACCTCGACTGCACCTGCAGCAGAAGTCCTGGTGTGCAGCGATGGAATCATGGACGTTGACGACAAGGTTGTTGATTGCCAGCACGTGCCTGCATAAGCGATGGCATGCTGACAGTGACATGCTATGTGATCTGTTGTCATGCCAGCCAGGGCCTTGTAATTTTCCTTGTTTTTCTTTCTTGTACTCACTCTTCGAAGTGCTTTTACCTAACTTGGATATTTTTGTATTCTGTCTGCATAAATAGAACAACGGTACAGTAACAACGCTCTGTAACCCCCCTTCTGATTTTTTTCCCATGCAAGTTGTTTCAAATCAATCAACGCGCGGCTAATCTCTTTACAGACCTCCATGATGCCAGTGCTTCTTGATGATTCACCCTTCCACGACATCCTCACGACCAACACCCCGCCGAGTGGTGCACAATGCAGCGAGATTCAGGCATTTCTTGAGCCTCACCGCACCAAACTTGTCGAGCTCAAGGGCGATGTCACGCGTCTGCGCCGCCTGCTCGACGCTGCGATTGAAGCGTGTGACGGGCTAGGCAGCTTCATTGCCGCACACGACGCCGTCTTCTCGCCGATCCGGCGCATGCCCGAAGACATTATGCGCCTCATCTTCATGAATACCCTTCCGGAACACCGCAACGCCGTCATTGACGCGAGCGAGGGCCCTCTGCTGCTTGTACAGGTGTGCAGATACTGGCGCGAGCTGACACTGGCAACGCCGCTGCTGTGGTCGTCCATCCATCTCGTCGTTGCCCAGGTCTTTCACGACAGCCTGAGGCCAGAAACTTGGACGTCCCCTGAGTTGCCTCCCGGGCCCGAGTTTCCGCAGTATGTGGCACCCGACCTGTCTACGTGGCTCGTACGCGGCAAGAACGCCCCGCTCAACATCACTGTAACGATGCACAGCCTGAAGACGGGCCCCAGGAGCCGAATGGTTGCGGAGGCCGATTCCCACATGGATGAAACAAGCGCGACCAGGGTACCACCTTTTCTACGCAGCCTCATATCCGTTTCTTATCGCTGGCGGGATGTCGAACTGGTGATATGGGACGTGGACCATGCTCAGGTGCTCTGTAAAATACTTCCGGAGGACGTCCCGCAACTGGAGAGCTTAACACTTCATTTTATACTCGACACAGAGTCCTTTCCCGCCCACTCTCAGCTGCAGCTCCTCGCGACGCCTAGTCTTCGGAGCCTGTGCCTCCGGGGCCCCCATCCCTATCCCGCATTCCCTGCTAGCGTTCTGTGGCAAAATATTGAAGCACTCACCCTCGAGCTCGACATCACAGAGCTCAGTGACCCCGAGTCGCCGTTGCCATTCCTGCACGAATGTGTATCGCTGGAAGAGCTCTCATTGACAATCTCACGAAGCTTGGACGACTCGGAGGACTCTGAATTTCCGCATTTGCCTTCCAACATTCACAATATCATACTCCCGCAGTTAGAAACACTTGACCTCGGCCAAGAATTTGGTGTCTTCTGGAATAACATATCCTCCATCATCACCCCCCTTCACGCCCCTCGCCTGCAGGCATTGGATCTTACACGAGGTCGCATTCATGAATCCAACCTTCAGATCCTGGCGCACATAGATCACCTTCGCGTTCTTGCTCTTCGGCTCGACGATATCACCACCTCTGTCTTTCTGTCCGCTCTCGAGTGCGTTCCCATGCTCGAGGGCTTGGATCTGGAAGGCACCCCTGCCGCCGACTGGGACCCTCCACTGGCTAATACTATCGGACCAGTCAACATAGCACCCGGATTTGTCAGCCTGAGCCTCCTTAGCCCCGAAGGTGTCCCTGTCGTGTCCCGGGCCAATCACGAGTATCTTGCGCATCTCCTCCCCACACGTGCACCGACGCCACTTGTCCCGGCCCTGCGACGCCTCGGGCTAAGCTGCCGGTTTCCGCCGGTGGAACTCCTGGTCAGTCTCATCCGCGCGCGCACTGTCGAGCTCCCGAGTGCTGATCCACCGGTCGCCCGCCTCACAAACCTGGACTGTCACTTTGATGGGGCCGGCAACTTGAAGGTGGAGCCAGCCACGGTCCAGGCGCTTGCGGACTGCGTGTGCCTTTCGCTGTCTATACTAGCTTTCCCCGTCGTGCAGCCTCAGCCCTACTCTGTGTTTGAGGGCACAGAGCGCCATCCAGGTATGCACTGGGGTGGGCCTGTCGAGACGGTGGTGTACAGATGCACCTCGGCCAACTGTCATGGTCCGGAGCTATGAGGGGATTCAGAGCTGTAGGACACAGCAATGGTATAGTTACTTGAGTATGTTAAGGAAGGCTTTTGTCAGTGCCTATGTAAGCTTGATATCATGTTATATATGTCATGTGTATGTCTCTCAAATCTTTCCATAGGTAGAAAAAAAGGATTCAAGTTTATCTTCTACGCATATTATAATCAGGCTCGGAAAACTAGAGTTGTCAGGGGAACCCCTGCTTCGGCCTCCTTTGGACCCTCCGAACGCATCCGAGGCGCATCCGACCGGCGCCCCCTCGGACGCTCCGACCCACCCCGACCATCGTCCACGGCCTCCTTCGCCCGCACAATCACCGATCTGTCAAGACCCTCCCAATGATCACCTTGGGACAGAGCCTGCGACGCCGCTCAGGCCTTCTGCGCTCTACGTCGGCAGTTACGGACGACCAGTATATAGTTGGCGCCCTAGCAGGCGGACCTTTAGAGTTTCTTCTCTTTGGATCCTCCCCTGCTAGGCTTTCGTCGGAGTCTCCAGGGTTGCCCTTACAGCAGAAGAAACTCTCTACGGGATTAACCGGTCAAGATTGCCAGGCTCGGCGCTGACTCAGGCTTGGAGTACGAGTTGTCACCGCCCCTGCCACTTGACCCCTCCTCCTCTGCTCTTGTCATCTTTATGCCTGCTATGTCTACCGGAGCTGCTTCGGATGCTGACGCGCGTATAGACACACTTGAGGCAAAATTAGACAACCTCACCAATATCCTCACACATCTTACTTCCCAGGCTTCAGCTGCCGCACCACCTTCGGCAGCTCCTGAACCAACTTTGACATCTCCGAATGCCCCCAACGCGGATGTGCTATTTGGTGACATTACTGTTGCCTCAAAATTGGTCCTACGACCAAACCCCCCCGTTCGCATTTAACAGAGATCGCAAACATGGCCGCGCCTTCCTATACATGGTCAAGACTTATGCCCAGCTTGCCCCTGAGGCCTTCGTGGTCAACAGAGAGCTGAGCAAAGAAACGGCCGTCCGCTACACCATGTCCTATATGGCGGAGGGACCTGCTCAGCAATGGGCGGAGCGTTATGGGAACAAAACCCCCTTCCTCTTCCCTCAGTGGAACCTATTCCTCTCCGAGTTCCACCTTCAGTTTGTTGAAGAGAACAAGCAAGACCTTGCGCTCGCTAAGCTGGAGAGTGCGGGTTATCATATGGGAACGCGGGACGTCTACGGATATACTGACGACTTCGAGGACTTAATGGACCTCGCTGGGTTCGAGGACACGTTGGTTAAGGTGACCAAGTACCGCCATGGACTTGACCCCCTGATCAACAATGGTATCCCGTCCTCGAAGGACCCCCCAGACCTCCGTGACTACCTGGGCTGGCGCACTCGGGCTTTCCGCCAATACGAAGCCTTGGTGCGGGCAAAGCTCATTAAAGGGACAACCCCACGGACGCCTTCGGGGGCTTCGCATGGCGCATTCCCTATCGCCCATTCGGCAACTCCGTTCCCCGTCTGCCCAGTGGCCGCACCTGCACCACCCGTGGCCCACACCCCCCGTCTTGGTACCTCCGGCTCCCGTCCCAATGGAGTTGGATCGTGCTAGGGCTCATGGCGCCCCTCGTTGAGCCTGCTTCAGATGCGGCAACCCCAACCACCTGGCTCGGGACTGTCTGCTCCCCGGCGACATCCGCCACATGGACATCCTCGATGAGGTAATCCAGCAACTTGGCAATGAGATGCTAGCAGAGTTGATTGCTCGTTACTCTGATACGGCTGCCCTAGCAGAGGCACATTCGGAGGTTCCGGCAGAGGATTTTCTCCCCCCTGCGACGAGTGACTGGTGTGCCCTCGTTTGCGTCCATAAATTGTTTCACTTGTTTGTATGATGAATCAACTCCTTTGCCCTACAATGGCAGGTGCCTTCCCTACCATCTGCCAGCTCATTCACTCAGCAATACTAATAAAAATATGGCTACTGGTGAAGGGCCATACTCATAAAACCTGGGGAAGGGCTCAAGGGTCACAAATGTCACACTTTTTTAAAAAACCATTTTATTCATTTTTGTGTATTAGATCATAGTATTGATGATGGGACTCATCTGCGCTATTGACATTGCTGGCCCAGATGATGCTGAGGACGAATTTGGAGCTGCATCGGACCTTCCGAACCCCTTGCCAGATCTTGACGACAACGAGCACCTTGACAATGCCGACTGCATCTTCTACACCTCCTTTCGCCCAGTAGAAGAGATTCGCGCTGGGAGCACAGTATTACAATGCCTTGCCGAAGCCTTTGCACATAACTCGGCTCCCCCACCTTTGAAGATTCCGGATTGGGCCAAAGAGTTCCAAGACATCTTCGACAAGGAGTCCTTCAACACGTTACTGGAGCAAAGGGCCTAGGACCACACTATCAAACTTGTCCCGGACGCAAAGCCCACTAACTGCAAGGTGTATCCGATCTCTCCCCTTGAACAGTGAGAACTTAACGCGTTCATTGAGGAAGGACTTGCCACAGGCAGTATTTGCCCTTCAGAATCTCCAATGGCTTCCCCCGTCTTTTTCATTAAGAAAAAGGACGGAGGACTTTGGTTTGTCCAGGACTACCGCACCCTCAACGCAATGACGATTAAGAAGCGGTACCCCCCTTCCGTTGATCAAGGACCTTATCAACAGACTCAAGGGTGCCCGCTACTTCACCAAACTTGACGTTAGCTGGGGCTTCAATAACGTCCAGATTAAAGAAGGAGACAAGTGGAAGACGGCCTTTCAGACTAACGGAGGGTTGTGCAAACCTTTGGTGATGTATTTCGGCCTGACGAACTCCTCTGCGAGGTTCCAAACGATGACGAATGACATTTTCCAGGACCTCATCCTCTCAGGAGACGTTATGATCTACCTTGATGACATCCTTATCGCACACTTGGACCTCCACAAACACCGTGAAATCATCCAGGAGGTCCTTTGGTGACTCCAAATGCACAAGTTGTACCTTTGCAAAGAGAAGTGCGACTTCAAGAAATCATCAATTGAGTACTTGGGGGTCATGCCCTGAGTATCCAAGTTGGTGACAAGGTTTGGCTCGATGCCTCTGACATTAGAATGACTCGGCCCTCTGAGAGATTCTGGCATAAGTGGCTTGGGCCATTCAAGGGACTCACAGAGGTTAGCAAGGGTGCCTATAAGCTAGACCTTCCCCCGCGCTAGCTTCGAACAGCAAAGAACAAGACTCTCATGGCCATCTACCAGCTCAGTCGCATGAAGGCTATTCGCTTGGGATACTGGACAGGAGATCCTGGGGACAATATGGACACAGCAGTTGGAGAGCACTATGGCCAAGATGCTGGTGTGATACCACCTCCAGACGAGCTGGCTTTGGATCCACAGGCAGCCGACTACAACGAGCCAACTGACCCTACCACTGAGAAGGATGCTGGTATCTTTGTCAATAATGCAGCAGAGATTGGAGAGATGAAGAAGGCTTTGGATGGTTTGACTTCAATGAAGAGGATGGGCAGCATGGTATCAATGTCTACCTTAGGGCAGTAGTTTAAGCAGTAGCCTACTTTTCAAATATGTCTTGATCAATCATTTATTTTTAAAAAAATTGATTGCCATTGATGGCCGCTGATGGCAAGTGATGGAGGAACGCAAGTTGTACCTTGCCTGAAAAAAGTTGTGTCTAGGCCCAGAAAAGTTGTACCAGAGGCCTTGACAACATGTATCTTGGAAAGTTGTGATTTACAAAGTTGTTGCAGTCCAAGTTGAAGTGGTATTTAAAAAAGTTGTACTTCAGAAAGAAAGTTGTACTTGAAAAAGTTGTACTCAAAGCAAAAAACCAAGTTGTATTCAAGAAAGTTGAAGATGTTGCTGGAAAAGTTGTCTGCTTATTATAAGTTGTCAATAGTCAGAAAACTTGCACATGCAGAAGTTGTACATGGCTCCAGGAAAGTTGTCATCAAGTATAAACATGTCATCAGCCAAAGTAAAACATGTCACCAGAAAAGTTGTCTTTGAGGTTGACTTGTACATGTACACAGTTTGAAAAGTTGTATCTAAGTTTCAAAGTTGTATCTAAAAACTGTAAAAAAGGCAAGTTGTACCTCCAAAAAGTTGTATTCATTTCAAAACATGTATCAGATTCTTTTTTAACAGTGATGTCCCCCATATCGGTATAAGCAAAACTGATACTGTAGTAATTAGACCATAAGTTCATCAATTTTCATTTTTTGCATGCCCGACAGGGCTAAAAAATTTTCTTTTGATTTTATACAAATTTTAACACCTTTTTTTTTGGCTTGATTATGTCAGGGTTCGGGTCGGGCCGTCGGGCCCTATACGGCACAACGGGCCCTCACCACTCTTAGAGCCCTAGGGCTTGACAAGCCCTCATAATTCACAAGCTCAAAGCACTGAGCAACAACACTAATATCCCAGAGAAGGGACATAATCACGGATCGTGTTTTAGTCAGCCATCAAGCTATCATGACCCGCCATCAGGGATCATGATGCGCCGCCGGACGCCCTTGACAGCAGGCCCAATCGGCCCTAGACAACCACAGGGCCCAGGAGGGAGCTCCTTACTGTTGCATTGTCAAACACTCCTTAGTGTCGACTTTGGCATGGCTCCTTTCTAGAGGAATGGTCCCTGGGCTCCTAGCGGAGCAACCAGGGACGACCAGAGACATCCCCTGCTCCATTCTGATCGACCCTCAGCAGGCCCGATCAGCCCCTAGCGCCCACAGTATATAAAGACTAGAGTATTACTCCTGTACCTTAGGTTTAGCATTGAAGTCTCTTCCTTTGAACCCTACTCCGGCCTGGTCCCCTAGAGCGGGGTTGCTGCAACCATACCCCGGGAAAGGGGCATCTAGACGACTTCCAACACCCAGGCTAGCTCGCCTCATTGACCTGAGCCCTTGGTTGGGCTGGACAGCTCCGGCTCTTGTCTCTTATGTTCACCCTTGTCCTAGCCACTTCTTCTTGCTCTCTGGCCTCAAGCTCTGGGTTCCCCTGGTACGGGGCGATGGGAGGGTGCGGGCCCGATCGGGCCCGCATGTCACGCGTCACACCGCGCCGTCACGCGGTGTCTAGGAGCCACAGCGACTCGTTTCTCCAGGAAAGGAGATATGTCGCCCCTTGGACTGGCAACCCTTCTCAAGCGCTCCAGGGGTCTCGGGCCCGCAGCCCCCTGTTGTGGGGCGACTCCCCTCGACCCCCTGAACCGTTGGGCGTGACCGCGTTACGTCACGCCTCGCCCGAACAGCTTGTTCAACTGGCTGAGCCTATGCCTTGCCCTATGCCTTGGGCACCAACTCTACTAGGCAGCACTCTTTGGCTATGGACTCGTTCCCTTTAGCGGGGTAGGACACTCTAGACGACTACTCGTATCCTGTGACACCGCTGTCACACAACGTGACAGCGGGGCGTCTTGAGTCGCCCCGAGTTGTCCCTACCCTGCTCTCCATTGCAGCAGTGGCACCATCTACGCTGCCTGGTTGCCAACCACCCAGCTATGGGGGTTGAACCATCTTTCCCACACTTGTCAGACTGGCAGGAGACCATCACGTGGGCCCGGGCCGGCCCCGTTCCTGACAGATTACGCATTATGCGAACTTGTGGTCTAATTACTACAGTAAATCAGTTTGTGAATATCAGGCTTTTTTGATCCGCGCCCTATCAGTCGAAAACAGCAATAAGTTAATAAATTACATGTGGAATATTTGTCATATGGAATGGGCCTGGGGCTTCCACCAACATTATTCTATATGACAGATTTGACTGTACTTTGCATTTGTTGTAGCAAAACCCTTCGGAAATAAATGTGTTTGTCAATAGTTTTTCAAGGTCACTAGTTGGCGGATGAGACCACTTGTGCATAATGTACTTCAAGTTATATCTTGTTGATATGCACGTGCCCCCGTGGGACCTTGGTAGGGCCTCGGCCTTAACGTAAGCAGGCGTACAGTTCCTCTCTCTTGCCCTCATGTGGATCCGAAATCTCGACTATCACGCAAGCCACGTTACGGCCCGTCGCACCGCATGGCCGCGGCTTCCTTGCCCACTTATATATATAGCCTCGGCTAGCCCGAAGCCTTCTTCTTCTTCCATTGATTTGATGCCGTCCCCCCTTCCTCCCTCCCGCCATGTCGACTGCTCCCCTGCCGTCTGCCCTCAAGCGCGACGACGACGCTGCAGAGTCAGACGCGCGTCTGCTGGCGCTCGGGTACAAGCCCGAGTTCCGCCGCGAGATGTCGCTCTTTGGCGTCCTGGGCATATCATTCTGCGCGATTGGAATTTTGACGGGTATGTCGAGCGCGTTCCAAACGGGGCTTTTCTCTGGTGGGCCACTAGGTGCGTGCCTCATCTTTTAAAAGCACATTAACACTAATAATCTTGCGTAGGGCTGTTCTGGGGATGGAACGTTTGTGGTTCCGTATGCTTTTAAAAAACGCGCCGACATTTTTCGTAGATCGTGAGCATCTTCATGCTGCTCATCGCGCTCTCGCTTGCCGAGATCTGCAGCGCGTATCCGACTATGGGGGGCCTCTACTTCTGGGTGTGCCGCATGAAACCTGACGTACCCTTTCTTGGCTGTATGTCATCCCGCACCCTCCGTAAGCCGTGATACTAACCGCACTAGTCGGAACGGGCTGGTTGTACACCATCGCACTCGTGTTCACCGGGACGTCCGGTAACCTCAGGTCCGTGCGCGCTTCCTTATCTCCGCCTTGCAGCTTATCACGCGCAAGCGTTGCGTTGTACCTCGCGTCGCTTGCGGAGGTTGGACAGGGCCGCATCCTCACGCGGCTTGAGATTGCCGCCATCGCTTGGGGAGTCAACATTGCGTCCGGGGTTATCAACACTATCGGTACAAAGGGAATCGGCCGCATGAGCAGTTTCAATGTCTGGTGGACGCTCGGCGGGACATTCGTGCTCGTAATCACGCTTCTCGTTAAAGCGCCGGTGAAAGTGAGTCCCCAGTCGATTGCGCAGGCGTTGAGAGTTGAATATCAACATTATAGAATAGTGCGGAATTCGTCTTTACGGACCTGGAAAAGTGTGTGTTCCAAAGACTGCCAACTCGACTTATCCACTAGCACGCAGTTTCACCGGCTGGGAAAATAAAGGCTTCGTCGTCCTTCTCGGCTTCCTCCAAGCCGTATACACACTTGAGGGTTGCGAAACTGCCGCTCAGGTCGCCGAAGAAGCCGTTCGGGCTGAGTGGCTTGCGCCGCTCGCCGTCGTTGGAAGTATAGTTGGCTCCTGGCTCATTGGCCTCGCATACATGCTTGCGCTGCTTTTCGCAGTGCAATCCATCCCCGCAGTGCAGTCCACCGCGCTTGCGCTCCCTATCGCGCAGCTCTACCACGACGCAGTCGGCAAACGGCTGACGTTGTTGTGCCTCGCGGTCATCGGGATCGCCCAGTTTATGGCGGCGGTGACGGCGTTCACGGCCAGCTCGCGTTTGTTCTACGCGTTGGCAAGGGACAACGCGTTTCCGGCAAAATCGCGCTTTATGCGCCTGAACCGCTTCCAGGCGCCGTACTGGGGAGTGTGGCTCAGCGTGCTAGTCGGGTGCATCATCTCGTGCGCTTATATTGGAAGCGCAATTGCGGTAAGCGCTAGCTTGGATGAAATTCGGCTTTGCTCCTCACATACAACCATAGTTCAACGCCATCTTGTCCTCCGCCGCGATCGCTGTTATGCTCGGGTACTTGCAGCCTATCCTCATCCGCGTCTTCTGGCCCTCTGCGTACGCCCCTCCCTCCTCTTTGTCTCCGCGCTCACTTGCCGCAGCCTCTCCACCCGCGGACCGTTCCACCTCGGCCGCTTCTCCTGGGGGATCAACCTCCTCGCCGCGCTCTTCACCGTATTCGTGTGCGTGTTGTTCGTGCTGCCGACTGCGCACCCGGTGAACAAGCTGAACATGAACTACGCCGTCGTCGCAGTCGGCGGACTGATGCTGCTTGTCGTGCTGATGTGGTTCGGCTGGGGCCATGGGCGGTTCACCGGCCCGGTTTTCACGGCTGGCAGCGAGGCGGTCGGGGACGAGAGGGCGGAGAAGGACGGGGAAGAAGCTAAGGCGAGTTTGGGTTGAACACACTCTGTTATAGGAAGCTTTGAATCTTTATATGTATGTTACAATATGTAAATGGTTTGAGTTGTGAAAGCACGGGTAAATAGTACAAGGTAAATACAACAACGATATTCTGAATTGGATCTGTGGCTTGGAATTCCATGCTGCACCTTAGAAGAGTCTATATAGCAGTTATCTAATTATAATTGTTTTTCCACCTTGGGTAAGCATTTGAGGAAAATCTGCACATAACCTTCAAGTTTCCTGTACAGTACACCAACTTGAACCACAATCAAATAAAAATATCGCACATATTGACAAAACATTAATTCTACGTTGCGTCCGCCCTCAACGCGCAAACCAGGCATCCTTCGCCGGCGCCTTGGCATCAGGGGCCCCGCCGCTGTCACCGTCGCCCTCGATAGGCACTTTACGGAGCGTCTGGTCCGACTGCCCGCACGAAATGATCAGCAATCGATACGAGACTAGGGAAAAGGAAAACACACGGTGCTGCGCAGTGTGTGCATCGAATGGCCCGCGCCGTCGCGCTCGCGGTCGATCTTGACAACTGCGCTGCGGTGGACATCTAAGATTATCATTACTGATTGATGCCGGTCCGGAAGGAAGCAAAGCAACACACGTATGCCGCTGACGTCGTCGCGCTCGCCGCCCGGGCCAGCCCCGGTGCCCGAGCTCCGACTGCCGCTTGCCGTCGACAGCAGCCTGCGCACATTGAGGTTGCTCAACTGGAGAAATAAGTGGATAAGAAAGGTGATAATGGGGAAACTTGAAGGAAGAGCACACACCATCGTGAGGACATACACGCGGCCAAGACAGTACGCGATGCCGAGTGGGACTGGAAAATCCTGCATCAACGCCACGGCAGATCAGACGGATCGACATGACACACCGTTGCTTTCGTTGTTGCACAAATAAGCGATGAGCGCCGCGAGGGCTACCGCCGCGCTCGCGGTGCCTGTTTGGATCGTCTGCAGTGCTAGGCGATTGAGCAGGCTTTGTGTTTCTTTGAAGTTGCTTTTAATCTGGCGGAACTGCCACAGGAGGGCAGCGGCAATGAAGACGTCCGTCACCGCCTGTGCAACAATCCACGCTGTGGCGAACGTGCGAGCTTTGCTGCGGTCCACATATGAGGGGAAGCGCGCAACGGTGATACCAGTGGCGAAACAGGCGCCGATCTAAATAGTGAGCGCAGACCCAGCAATAGCAGTGCGACGGACCGCGGCGAGTATCGTGAGGAAGAAAAATAGGGTGATGACAATGTTTTTTGAACTGCAGGGGAGTCAGCCGCGAAATGAGAAAGGGACACGATCGCCCACAAGCGGTAGTACCGCACGACGAGAAAGGTCTGCACCTGGGCGGCGACGAGGCCAGTGGAGAATATGAGGAGCGGAAATGTCTGCACATGAATCAGAATCCAGGACTCGCCACGCCGTAGTCCTACGCACCCAATTCTGCGTACTCAGATAAAGCAAGTCGCCTGCGTGGGTAACGGTGTAGAGATAGACCGCGGCGTAGTTTCCCAACGCGGCGGCGGTGTCCACAAGGAATGCACTCAGCACGAGCGTCTTGATATGCCATTCGTCGTTCGGGAAGGACCGGAAGTAGACGATGACCTGCCCCAGCTGTTGAGAGCAATAAAGAGAAGATGATAATATTGAGGGCTTCAGAGCCCAGTATTTATACTACAGGCATTGTATCTAGAAAGTTCTGTATCTATCTACAAGTATTGGTAAGTGCTGACTGAGCCGCGTCGGAGGCGAGTCAGTCCGTGGTCAGGTGACCGTGGATGGTCCGGCCGGCCGGCCGGGCATATCCTCAACACTCCCCCTCAAGCGCGAATCATCCCGAGCAGAGTCGTGAGGTATTCGTGCTTGATTCTTGGTAAGCCCTTGGTGAAGATGTCCGCTGTGTTGTCATCTGTTGGCGCATAGGAAACTGACACCTGGTTAGAGGCGATAGTCTCTCGGATAAAATGGTAGCGAATATCGATATGTTTCGAGCGGGCGTGATGGCCGGAGTTCTCGGCGAAGAGAATCGTGCCTTGGTTGTCGACAGAGATGTGTGTGGGAAGGGATATGTCGAGGCCGAGTTCCGAGAAGAGAGCGCGGAGCCAGAGTGCTTCGCGAGTAGCGCTAGCGAGCGCCATGTACTCTGCTTCCATGCTGGACAGAGCCACGGTGGCTTGTTTCTTGGAGTTCCAAGTAACGGCTCCCCCAGCAAAAGTCGAAACGTAGCCGGTGATGGATCGACGCGTGTCAACGTCGCTTCCCCAGTCGGCATCGGAGAACAACTCGAGCGCCGTTACCGGGTGGTTAACGCGGTACTCGATTCCAAGGTTGATGGTGCCTTTGAGGTAGCGGAAGACGCGTTTTGCTGCGGTGAGATGCTCGGGGCCTGGGTTCGTATTGAACTGGCTGAGCATTTGGACAGCGAAGGAGATGTCGGGACGGGTAGTGATGGCCGCGTAGAGAAGCGAGCCGATCATATTCTGGTAGACGCGTTTGACGTCCGGGAATGATTTGTCGTCTGGGAGCTTGGAGAGCTTGACGTTCGGGTCAACGGGTGTAACAGCAGAGTTCGCGTTGGCCATCTGGTACTTCTCTAGGATGCGGGTGATGTATTGTGTCTGCGTGAGGCGGATGAACTCGGGCGTGCGCGTGATTTCCATGCCGAGCAGCTGGCGGATCTCCCCCAGCTTCTTGATGGTGAATTCGGCATCGAGTTCAGCTTCGACGCGAGACATTAGAGCATCTGAAGATGTCAGAATAGTCATGTCGTCGACGTGGACAGCAATGATGCTGATGTCCGAGCCGTCGCGACGAACATAGACGCACTGATCTGATATGAGCCGTGTGTACCCGAGTTTGAGGAATGACGCGTTGAGCTGTATGTTCCACACGCGTCCGGACTGTTTGAGCCCATAGAGCGTGCGGAGTAAGCGACAGACGCGTGCCGTTCCGTCTTCGAATAGTGGTGGCTGCTGCATGTAAATCTCCTCGTCTAGTTGGCCGTTGAGGTAGGCACCAACAACGTCGACAACGTGCACTTGGAGATTGTAGCGGGCCGCGAGGGCAAGTAGGAGCCGGACCGTCTCGATCCGGACGACTGGTGCGAAGGTTTCGTCGAAGTCTATGCCGGGGACTTGTGAGAAGCCCTTGGCGACAAGCCTAGCTTTGTAACGAATGACATTGCCTTCGTCGTCGCGTTTGACGCGGAAGACCCACTTGCATGCGACGGTGGAGCGGCCAGCAGGGAGATCCTGCATGGTGTATGTGCCCAGCGTGCGCAGCTGATTGATCTCCTCCTCCATGGCCTGCTGCCATTCCGGCCAGTCGGCGCGCGCTTGTGCCTCAGCAACAGTGAGTGGATCCGCAAGGGGATCGACACGAGTGGCGAGCGCAACGTTCGGCTCGTCATGGGAGGCAACGCGGTGCTTCCACGCGTCAGGCTTCTTGGGCGAGCGGGCGTCCGGGTTGTTCAGCAACCGGTAGTCCAGCGCGGTCTTTGCGGACCGGGGAAGCGGCTGCCGATACGTGGGGACGACAGGTGTGGGGGGTGGCGCTGCTCGGATCGGCGGGCTGATCGACCGGGGCCGGCGGCGATGGCTGCGCGACAGGTTCATTCTCCCCCTCGAGCGGCATCGACGCAGGTTTGGTGATGGTTGAGGAGGTGAGTGGAGTTGTTGAAGTGTCCGGGGCGAAGCTAATATTGCGCGTGGTTTGAATCGAGCGAGTTTCGGGGTTGTAGTACCGCCAGGCCGTTGACTCGTCGGATAGACCAGTGAATATGAATGGTCGCGTTTTGACGGGGAGCTTGCCGGTGACAGCGGCACCTTGTTTAAGAACTTCACAAGAGGTGCCGAACTCCTGGAGAGCGGAGACGTCGGGCTTGCGCTTCCAGAAAGCTTCATCCGGCGTGATGAATTCGGCGAGAGCGGCAGTTGGCGACCGGTTCTTCAGGTAGGCAGCGTACGCGACAGCCTCGGGCCACAGGAAGAGTGGGAGATTATGCGCAGCTAGCATGGCACGAGCATGCTCGATTAGCGTCCGATTGAGGCGCTCGGCGACGCCGTTCTGGGACGGGGAGTAGGGGGCCGTGAGCTGGAGACGGATTCCACGCTCGGCGAGGAAGTTTTTGACGTCTTGATTGACGTATTCCCCTCCGTTATCGCAACGGAAACATTTTACGCGTTTGCCGGTCTGTGTTTGGACATACTGGTCATAGTCGCGCATCTTGTCTTTGACTTCAGATTTGAGTTTCATGAAGTAGACGAGAGTGCGGCGCGTTGCAGCGTCCGTGAACGAGACATAATATCGGGAGCCGTCGATCCCAGTGATTTGGGATGGGCCCCAGACGTCGGTAAACGTCATCTCGCCAATCTCCGTATATTTTGTGTCAGATTTGGCAGGGAATGGCATGACATGAGACTTGGCCTTGACACAGATGTCGCAGTGGGAAGTGGGCGTGCTAGACGCGTCGACTTTCATGCCGGTGACCATGTCTTTGTCGTACAGCAGCTTGACTGACTTGTGCTGCATGTGGCCGAAGATGCGGTGCCATTTGTCCCAGGAGTGAGACGGAGGGGAGACGGATGGGAGTGCGATAGAGGGAGGTGATGCGGGTGGCGCCGGCGTCCGTGATGATCGCGTGATGCGGACTTTATACAGGTTGCCGGTGCGCGTGCCGCGCATGATTTCCCGTTTGGAGCCAGGTGCGAAGACCTTCATGGTGTCGCCAGTGAACTCGACAGAGCAGCCGCCAGCAGTAAGACAGCCAATAGATATGAGGTTGTATGGCGCGTCAGGTACGTGGAGCGTGTTCTTGAGTGTCAGTGAGTAGGCGCTGTTGCCTACATGGGAAGCGATCTCGGCGTTGCCGATACCGGGGCTTGGCATCGCGCCGAAGCCGGTGACAGACTGGCCGGGGGTCTCCGTATACGAGGAAAAAATAGATTTATTACGGGCTATGTGTTTAGTGGCGCCGCTATCAGCGAGCCATACATCCAGGCCGGTGGTAGGAGACGGGGCGGCAGTGAACGCGTAGTTGGCCGTCTCGTCAGGAGATGATGTCACCTCCGTGACGTGAGCGCGGCCCGACTGACCGTTGCCGTTTCCCAGGGACCGCTGGTAATTCTGGCGTTTCTGCTCCTCTGTAAACTTCTTGCCCTTCTTTGTGTCCCGACAGTCGCCAACCATGTGTCCGCGTCGGCCGCACCCGTTGCAAACAATAGACCATATTCGCAACCCCTTCCCCGACACGAAATCATTTCCGTTTCCTGTTGCTACGGCCGCAAATGGTGTGTTACTGATCGTGACATTGTTGCGCCACGTCCCGCCCTTCGCGCGCCGATTCCACACCCTTCATCACATGCCTATATTTCAGACATAATTAACCAGCGCCTTCACATTATATATGCTATAGCACTTACTCCACATCGAATTTCTACCTTTTGTATGGTATAATTTACAGAAAACCAGCTCCCTCAACGCGCCATATCCCGACATCAGAGTGAGTTTGATCGAATTGCCGTTTATGGGGGCATCCAAATTTTGGCGTGTGGAGCATCAAAAACGAGAATATGCCTTTGCCGAGGGGTTGCGAATATGGTCTAATGTCCGCGCGGGACTTGTTGTTGGGCTTGAAGGGTTTGGCGGGTAGCGCGACAGCATCAGAGTTGGGCTTGGCGTTCTTCTGGCGATCCTGCTCCAGGATGCGCGCGATGATCGGGGCAGAGTCGGTGAAGGAGGAAGTGTCGACAGTTTGGATGAAGGAGTTCCAGGACTCCGGGAGAGAGGTAAGGAGGGCCGTGGAGAACTCGTCTTCTTCAAACTTGGAGCCGAGAGCTTGGATTTGGGTTCGGAGTGCTGTGAGCTTCCGGATATGTTCTTCGATGTCGCTGCCCTCCGGGCACTGGAGATGCAAGAGCTTCCGGCGCAGGAGAACGACAGCGAATGCGCCGCGCGGTCGGTACATCTTCTCCAACGTGTCCCACGCATCCTTGGAGGTGGTGCAGTTGGTGATGTAGACCAGCGGGCCGTCTGATACGCGAAGTCGGATGGCTGACAGGGCCTGGCGGTCCTTGCGTTCCCACTCAGCAACAGTCTGTGTGCTGGTGGAAGCAGGTGCCGCGGGCGCGGCTGCAGTGGTTTGCTGGGCGGAGGCTGTGCCGGTGCCTGCTGGAGGCGAAACGACGACGACAGGCGCTGCGGCGCCAGGCTTGAGAATGCGACCCTTGGGGTAATCATCGAGCTGAAGATCTGTCAAGATGTCGGTGAGCTTGACAGCCCATGTGGGATAGTCGGTGGATCCGGAAAGGTGCTGAATACGGTAAGCGGAGGTGGTAGCGTCAGACATGCTGTATAATGATGATTATGACGTAGCGATGTGCTGGCTGATGTCGATAAGGCTGATACGCGATGGGTAAGACGCGGGGCCCATAACCTGTTGAGAGCAATAAAGAGAAGATGATAATATTGAGGGCTTCAGAGCCCAGTATTTATACTACAGGCATTGTATCTAGAAAGTTCTGTATCTATCTACAAGTATTGGTAAGTGCTGACTGAGCCGCGTCGGAGGCGAGTCAGTCCGTGGTCAGGTGACCGTGGATGGTCCGGCCGGCCGGCCGGGCATATCCTCAACACCAGCTCGACACTGTACAGCAGCTGTCGGTGGTCAGTTTGGAGCCGCGGCCGGCAGAACGACCACGCACCGAGTTAACCCATGTCCCCACCAGCAAAGCCCTACACCATAACAGAAGCCTAGTCAGCACCGTTGTCGGCCGTGGTACACGCCACGCACCCGGTCACAATATCCAGCGCTGGCATCGACATCTTCGCCGGTGGAAAGCGGACATTCACCAGCTACTAATAAATGCGAAAGAACGGCCCAGGCGCGTGTGGCCTCCACAAGATCTGCAATGGCGATCAGGGGCGTACCTACAAACCCATTGGGAACCCAAGTGGCAAATGATGCGCAGATCGACGATCAGGGAGAGTTGAGTGAATGAGGAAGATGGAAAGGAAGAAACAAGACACTGCCATGTTAGAGAAATCAGAATGTGCCGATGCCAATTGCAACAGGGGATCAACTGTTCAAGAGTTCAGGAGATGATCTGATGTTCAATGTTGCGACGAGTGAAGAAAATAAAGATACCGGCGCAATACTACACCGCACAGTCCTCCACAAGCCCCACATCCGACTCCTTTCCTGCCAGTGGACTGACATCCCGCCCGCACACCGAGTCAGACACAGTTCGCGCCTCAGAACCGTCGTCGCCGTTGCTCGAACTGTCTCCCCCGGGCCGTTGGTGCACGTGAACAACCGGCCCAGGTATGATTGCTGCCCCACATTTCAATATCGCAACGAATGAAAGAAGGATACGACACCGACCCGGGCCTTCCCGCCGCGCGACCTGGAACTGCGTTATATTGTCGTCCCCCGACTGGGACCCCGATAGCTGGCTGACGCCATTGCCTGGCACCTGAAGGAACGTCCGGATGTTCAGGTTGCTTAACTGCAAGTCTCTCAGCATTCAAACGAGCCTGAACGAACTCGAAAATGACATATGCGATTCCAAGCGGGACTAGAGCATGGATACATCAAGCATGCGACAAAGTCCGCCCCAGCTGCAGCACGCACCGTTGCTCTCGTTATTGACCAAATACGTGATCAGCGCCGCTACCGCTACCGTCGCCGTCGCCGTGCCCGTCTGTATCGCCTGCAGCGCAAGGCGGTCGATGATGTTCTGAGTCTTTTTAAAGCCGCCGCGGAGGCGGTGGAACTGCCATAGCAGCGCACCCGCAATCAGCACATCTATCAAGCTCTGCGTGATCACCCAGAGAGTCGCGGATGTGCGCGCCTTGTGCCGTTGGATGTAGGACGGGAAGCGGGCAACGGTGATTCCTGTTGCGAAGCACGCGCCAGTCTACACAAGGTCATTTGACGCAACATACAGGTAGGTGGGAGCGCACGGAGGTGCCGATCAAAAGGAGGAGGAAAAGGGGAAAGGCAGTGTTGTTCGTGCTGGGCAACGTCAGTAAGGGACCCAGCGCAGAATAAACAACGCACAATCGCCAATAGCGCATGATCAGGAACAGTTGGACCTGCGCTGCGACAAAGCCCGTGGAGAATACCAGCAGCGGAATTGTCTGCCCCAGTCAGTTTATTCGCTGCAGCCTGTCTCACGGACACACGCACCCAATTCTGCCTGCTGAGATATACGAGGTCGCCCGCGTGCGTGACAGTATAGAGGTAGACGGCGGCGTAGTTCGCCACGGTCGTAATGGTATCGATGAGGACCGTATTGAGCACAAGCGCCTTGATGTACCACTCGTCTTTCGGAAATTTCCGAAAGTAACGGAATACTTCGCGGAGCTCGAATGTATACAACAACTGGCGAGGTGGTGAGCGAGAGCGGAGGACAGAAGCGACAGCTTACGGAGCTGACCCAGGTCCCGATGAGCAGCGCACTACGAGGGGAGTTGATAAGCGTTGGCGAGTCGGTGTGCCCGACGACGGTCGACAGACTCACCCAGTGATGATATCCAAGGGCGGTATATCCGTCGACATCGTGGACAGGAAAGAGGGCACGTCTGACCAAGACCAGCGGATGCCGCAGTAGAGCACCACAGACAATGTCTCATGTCTCCCGCGACACTTGGCCTAGCCTTTACAAGCTCCAACCAACAAACTGAATCAGCCGAGGGGCAAGTAAAAGGAGCTGCCTGCGGATTCAATAATGCCTCCAGAAGAGTCTTCACTCACAGCTACAATTTGCAACGGCCCTTCGTAGTATTACAGTTCATGCACGATCGTCCAATAAAGCGCCTGAACGCTACCAACTGCCTCCCATAACGCCCTCCCCCGGGCTGTTATTCACCCTTGAAAGAACGAGCTGGTACTCTCGCCGCGTTGCAGCCCGTTCTATGCCAAATCTGGCAGCCTTCCGCAAGCGTGCATCATTGGCAGGGTCGCTGTAAAGCTGATTAATCGCGGTCCAAAACGATGCAGTAGATTTCATTGAAACGCACCGGACAGCGCCTGCAAAGACGCGTTCCATTCCCTCGTAAGGAAAGGCCTCGGACTCGAGGATAAGAGTGGCCGCGAACCAGCAGGCGAACTGCTGTCGCGCGGGGTTGTGTGGGAGGGTATTTATGATGTCTGGCGCATGTCGGACAACCTCGATTGAGGGGATGGGTTTGACTGCTATTGTTTGGCGGAGCGCCCATATTGCGCTACGACTGACCACTGGTCGATTGCTGTCCTCAATCCAAAATGTGAGCGTCAACGGATATACTTATGCTGGTCAAACGCACCCAAGCATCTGGTCGAGGTACATGACCGTCCACGGCTCAGCGGGGATGTCAGTGGGGCCGAGTCCCGGGATTATAGCCTCGCAAAGCGTGCGGAACGACCAGGCACCGACGAGAAGAGTAACGACGGAAGAGAGAAGCTGGTCAATGCGGGCTGGCGGCATGGCCGCGCTTCCAGCGACGTTGGCAACGATCTCTGCGCCGAATCCGCGCCAGCAAATACCGGCGAGGCTGTCCAACGTGGCCGCTTCGGTGGTCACTTCGCTGGATTCAAATTGAGGGTAAGTGGTAGGGAATAATGAAAACGTACTAAGGAGAGTACAGCAAAGCCACGGCACACTCCAGTAAACAGGCGTGGGATATCTCCTGTGTCTGGATGCAAACCCGTTGAGCGATGTAACAGGCGGGGAGCTTGATTGTCGGGTCTTCGGAAGCCAGAAAATGGCAGAGTAGGTCCATATGAAGAGGATTGAGGCCGTAGAGGATTGCTTTGACGTCGCCGTCAAATCGCGGAGCTCGTATCCTCTCTTCCAGCTCCTGCAAAATGCGCGCTTTTGCTGAAGAGGCGATGTAATTGCCGCTGAGCGGTGTTAGCTGCAACGAAGATCCCGTGTGGCCATGCACCCACCGGAGATACCCCACATATAACTCCAGCCTCTCAATTGACAGCGGCTCCGTCTCAGAAGCCTTCAGCAAGCTCCGCGCTTGACGCCCATGCAGGGCCCGTATTAGCGGTTTGGCGACGGCGTGCAGGTTAATGGTAACGCCGATGGTATTGTTGTCCGACCACCAGCTGCGGATGGTCGTCCCAGAAAGTGTGCGGGTGAGTGGGGGCATTCGGCCACGGTGGGATTGTCCGAGTCAGCGCTCTTGCAAATGAGTCGGAAGCAAGACGCGCAAAGCTGTAAAGCTGTAAAGCTTCCTTCTCGGCTTTCGGGCGGACGTCCTGGGCTGTTAAGCGCCATTGTCTATCTGGAGGACAAGGAAGGGAGAAGACGGTTCAGCGTAATGCCGATCAAGAGAAAAAAAAAGTGACGCGGCCGTGACAATCGGTGATACGAATCATCATGATGACACTATAGTACCTTCTCCGTCCCTCCACGCTGTCTTGACGAGCGCCACTACCGACAGCAATTGCAATGCTCTCTAGGCCCCTTTTACCTGTACCTCGATGCCCCCGCTCGTACGCTACCCCACCCCCAGCGCTGCCAGCATTCACAGCTGGTGGTCGGACAGCAACCCGAGTGGGGCAACCATCAACCTGCATAGCGTGGCCCGGCCGCTCATCCACGCGCTTTACTCACGCGAAGCACGCAAACTCACGACTTCTCCGCCGTACCTCCAGCAGTTCACGACAGAAGTGGCTGAGCAGTACCTTGGCTTCTTAGCGTGTGTGCCTGCACTTATCGGACGCAGCTTCTCGCTGACTTTGCATAGATGTGATGTCAAGATCGTCGGCGTTTCCGCCAAAGTCATCATCCTGCGCTCAATCCAAGTGCATCTCGGCTCCGCGCTGACCTTTGACGGCGATTCAGCCCTCCTCTGCCACCTTTTCGCGGATCCGACCTACGCGGAGATTTGGTGCGAGCTGCTCACATCACCTCATATCCAAATCCATCTGCTTGGGTGCTCTATTCTCCGCCGTCTTTCTACGGAATACGCCGGCGGAGTCAACTACCTCTCTCGGCCATTCGTCCTTCAAACGGCAGTTACCCTCTGCGGGCTGCTAACGTCTCCCGTCCCGGATTCTCTCTTCCACGCCACCGCCCACTCGACACTAGCGGCCCTGTGTATCACACCAGTTGGCACAGACGTCGTTGTCGAAGCCCTGGAGAGCAACCCTGCCATCGACACGCGCGATTTCCTCGTTCGCGTTATCAAGCTCCTCCTTGGCAGCGTCACGTTCATTCGACTGTGTATGTCTATTTCGTCCCGCGCTGGGTGGCTCATTGAGCCGGGAAACTTGAAACTCAAGGTCCCATGGTCTTCTGTGTCAGTTTAATTCTCCACACCAAGCTTGATGCCTTATTCAATTCAACACAGTGATCCACAAGAAATGGTTGTCTGCGCTGACGCTGCCCTACGACATACTCTCGCACTGTCCAAAGATCGGGAAGCTGACCTGACCCTGCTCCGCCAGGCCCCAGCCATCCTGCAAGGGCCGGAGGACTTTATGCAACAGCGTGAATTCTTCTGCTGGTTTACGGGGGAGCTTGCCCTCATGCGCGGCCACGATGGAGGAGCATCAGGCTCAGGCCCCATTCCCACTGATGAGCTCATCAAGTGCCTGAACGCAGCAATCGAGTGTGTTGCTACCTTTACCCCTGCCATCATCCATGTTGATCATGTTTTCAGAGAGGCAGAGCCGGCTACACGTCTGCCTGCTGCAGCAGGCTTTGCGCTGGAGGAGCTGCAGGTCTACAACTGGGCCCGATATCACCCCCGAGCGGTGCCAGTGTAGTTGTGGGGTGGAGCCGTATAGTAGTAACATGATCAGGATGGACTTTAAATTTATTTTACCAAGCTTGTTGATAATACTGCTTCTCTCCGTATCATGACTTATTGGCCTGATGCGACACTACGCAGTAGGCCCGCTCATATGATATAATTATAATATATTCATATTTGGCCAGCACTAGGGGCAATGCCACACAGAGTTAATGGACATGGTAAATTTACAATTAGAATCAAACCAAAAGGGCCCATTAAAGCGTTCCCTTGTCAAAGTTGGTGTCGGGGTCAAATCAGTTCGTTTCGGGCCTGATGAGTTGGTGATGCCTCCTTGCACATAGAGAAGTGGTACAATAGATGATCCAAGCAATAGAGTACAGTGTCCACTATCACGCCTTATATATGCGGGCCTGCTGAGGGGTGATTGGACACCCTTGGCCTCTCCTGCTCCTCCTCATTCCTGTCCCTGGCCACAGAGGGGACGATCGTACATCTCTTGTGGGCCAGGCACTACTCCTAGCCTCCTAGCACTCCTCCCCAATTCCCTTGTGTTGCGAGTTGGCTTGGTGATGGCTCAACATGTTGTTCTCGGTCATGTGCTTCCCATGGGCCACATGTGCATTCCTCCTACTGGGGCGTCTGTTCCCCATCGTCATGTGCTGCATGCTGCGGGCCTGACACCATTGCCGGAGCAGACGGGCTGGGTCCTACCCATGACAGGTGGGCCTGGTAAAGGTGGTCTTGTTGGAGTTGGATGAGTAAGGCTTAGTATAATCACACCAGATTCAGCAAAATATATCCAGATATTAAAACAGTCGCTGAAATTGTCAGGGAAAACCTGATTAGAGCGGCTGAGATTCAACCCATACAATCCTTAAAATACAATCAGGGGCATTACCATGAGTATCGGTTGGGCCAGTATATACTTGATCCAGGGTTGTCCTATACTATGTTTGATAGAATATATGGCATATATATGGACATATAGAATGTCTAAAAATGGATGTAGCTCTCAGAGCCATGATAGAAATTTCTTAGTCTATAACAACAACCTAGACCATGATTATCCATGCATTCCCCACTGAAATATTAAGTCATCATTGTGCTTGATCAACTTTGGAACAGAAATACTACAAAGAAGTGATATAATCGTATAGTTTAAATGTATAAGAGTATAAAAAGATATCAAGACTGCATAGATACCTACCCTCTGGTGAAACAATCATCTGAATTCATGAAGAACTTGAGGAGATATGACTATATTAACAAGTTTTATATACAATCATTAGAGAGTGTAGATATACTAATAATGTTGTATTGTTGAGAGTATTGACTCTATCATTCAGGTATCCTTAGTAGTTCTTTAATCAGCTCTGTAGCCTGTCTGGTCAGTGAGATATTATCTTATTAGTTGTAGATTAGCTAGTGATTGGCGAGTGCTGGTATAGTGATGGCCAAGTCCAGTTCGGTCTGGTTCTTGGCCCTTTTCGGCCAAACACCGGACCGCCGGTTCGGTTCAAAACGGGATTTTGCTAAAGAAAATGGCTGAACCTGGCCGAACCGAGAGCCAGGTTCGGTTCGGAAACAGCCTTGGCCGAACCTGAACGCTGAACGCGCGTTCAGTCCGGTCCGGTTCGGGTTCGAACCGAAATCCCGAACCGGACCTGGCCATCACTATGCTGGTACAAATCCTGCTGAAGTTGAATATTAATAAATCCAGAAATTAGGGAGTCTAGAACTTGGATCACAGAAATGCATTGGAAAAGTAAACTAACAGTGGGGTTTAATTAAGATTTCAACCCTATTGGCCAGTCTACCAATCTAGTCATTATTGTGTGTAGGTGTGTATACTCTGCTTGTGAGTTTCAAATTGCAGGAACCAACTAACAGATCAAGGATACTGTATTATTTAGATCAACTATCCACAGCATATGATATATAACACACACTGTATGTCAGGCAAGGTGTCCAGACTACCATAAAAGGCAATTCCCGGAACAAAAAAATGCCGTTTTAATGCAGTTATTGATGGAAATCCAGGCCCAAATGCATAACAAAGACTGCAGGTGTCCGTGCCACATCTGTGTATGACATGTAACATAGATGCATAACACATTTTGTTCTAGATGGTTCTATGGCTCTCGGGGCGAGAGTCTTAACGGGGGAGTACTGTTATATCCCGTGCATCTTTGGACGCTCTGAGGTTATCCTTGGAGCGCAACAGGGTTTTTACACGATGAAGGTATCTGAGTGTTTCCCTTCAAACAGTTAATCTGCACGGAGACTCCCTCGGACCTGTACCCACCCTCCAACCATCAACTCGGATCTTTACCCATTTGGACTTGCATTTGTTTACTTATATCCGTTAGGTGTTCGCCTTGTTTCCTTTGCCTCGTGTATGTCTTCTCGTTCCCCTTACTTACTATGCCTTTGTACTTATCCCGCAGAGAGATCCTGCAGACCTCATCGGATCTCCCTGCGAGGTCATATGCCTTATGTCTACCACTTAGTATAAATACTCACACTCTATACTCCTGTACTTCAGTTTCGTTATTAACGTTTCTTGCCTCGCTCCCCGCTCTCATCTGACTCCCTCCGCGTTCTAAGCCTTTATCACCTTCGGCTTCTCTGAACGTATCCGTTGGAGTTCACGTATTTGTTCAGACTTGCTTTCGGCCTGCAAGACGTGTAGTCGCTCACTCCGATATAGTGTTGTGATAGCTACTCGGTTTTGCTTCGGACTTTCTGTTACTTACATTCGGTTCTTGCACGGCACTTAACAATCGTACAGTACTAAACAGGGCTAGGGCTATGCCCCAGCTTTGAATATTACTTAAATAAAGTCAATTTTTGAATTAAAGAAAAATCCCACTAATTACAGAATAGCACATAGGTGCACAATAACCCTCTTAAATATCTGGTCTACTACTATCTGCATAGATTGCAACTCAAGTAAGTAAAATTTATATACTTATTTATTGATTTGTGTCAGGGGAACCCCCGCTTCGGCCTCCTTCGGACCCTCCGAACGCATCCGAGGCGCATCCGACCGGCGCCCCCTCGGACGCTCCGACCCACCCCGACCATCGTCCATGGCCTCCTTTGCCCGCACAATCACCGATCCGTCAAGACCCTCCCAACTATCACCTTGGGACAGAGCTTGCGACGCTGCTCAGGCCTTCTGCGCTCTACGTCGGCAGTTACGGATGACCAGTATATAGTTGGCGCCCTAGCAGGCGAACCCTTAGAGTTTCTTCTCTTTGGATCCTCCCCTGCTAGGCTTTCGTCGGAGTCTCCAGGGTTACCCTTACAGCAGAAGAAACTCTCTACAGGATTAACCGGTCAAGATTGCCAGGTTTGGCGCTGATTCAGGCTCGGAGTACGAGTCCGTACCCCCCTCGTCACCGCCCCTGCCACTTGACCCCTCCTCCTCTGCTCTTGTTGTCCTTACACCCGCTATGTCTACCGGAGCTGCTCCGGACGCTGACACGCACATGGACGCACTTGAGGCGAAACTAGATAACCTCACCAATATCCTCACCCACCTTGCTTCCCAGGCTTCCGCTGCCGCACCACCTTCAGCAGCTCCCGAACCGCCTTCGGCATCTCCGAATGCCCCCGACGCGGATGCGTTATTTGGTGACATTACTGTCGCCTCAAAACTGGTCTTACGACCAAACCCCCCGTTTGCGTTTAACGGAGATCGCAAACGTGGCCGCGCCTTCCTATACGCGGTCAAGACTTACGCCCGGCTTGCCCCAGAGGCCTTCGTGGTCAACGGAGAGCCGAGCGAAGAAAAGGCCGTCCGCTACGCCATGTCCTATATGGCGGAGGGACCTGCTCAGCAGTGGGCAGAGCGTCAGGGGAGCAAAACCCCTTTCCCCTTCCCTCGGTGGAACCTATTCCTCTCCGAGTTTCGGCTTCGGTTTGTTGAGGAGAACGAGCAAGACCTCGCGCTCGCCAAGTTGGAAAGTGCGGGTTATCATATGGGAACGCAGGACGTCTACGGATACACCGACGACTTCGAGGACCTAATGGACCTCGCCGGATTCGAAGACACGTTGGTTAAGGTGACCAAGTACCGCCATGGACTTGACCCCCTGATCAACAATGGCATCACGTCCTCGAACGACCCCCCAGACCTCCGTGACTATCTGGGCTGGCGCACTCGGGCTTTCCGCCAATACGAAGCCTTGGTGCGGGCGAAGCTCATCAAAGGGACCACCCCGTGGATGCCTTCGGGGGCTCCGCGTGGCGCATTCCCTATCGCCCGTTCGGCAACTCCGTTCCCTATCCGCCCGGTGGCCGCACCTGCGCCACCCGTGGCCCGCGCCCCTGTCTCGGTACCTCCGGCTCCCGTCCCTATGGAGTTGGATCGTACTAGGGCTCGGGGCGCCCCTCGTCAAGCCTGCTTCAGATGTGGCGACCCCAACCACTTGGCTCGGGATTGTCCGCTCCCCGCCGATGTTCGCCATGTGGACATCCTTGACGAGGTAATCCAGCAACTCGGCGACGAGATGCTGGGAGAGCTGCTCGTGCGGTTGTCCGATACCGCGGCCTTAGCGGAGGCGCATTCGGAGGTTCCGGCAGAGGATTTTGTCCCCCCGCGACGAGTGACTGGTGTGCCCTCGTTCGGCGTCCATAAATCGTTTCACTTGTTTGTATGATGAATCAACTCCCTTGCCCTACAACGAGCCTGAAACGAAAGACGCACCCCCTGCCCCCTCACCCGTAGGTGTAGGATTTAGGCTACTGCCCTAGCAATTGCTTGATAGGATCTACCCTAAATCCCCAGGAAGCCCTAGGGCTAGCAGCTCCTAGCAAGTCCTGCCTGCCCTGTCCCTGTAAATCACCCGAGCACTGCTACGCGGCTTCCCGGCACCCTTGATGCTCGTGATTTCTTGATGCCCCATCAAATATCAGCCCTTGACTGATACATCAGGCCCGGCATCGTCGTCCCACTATTTCCACTTGCTGGGGTTTTCCGAAATTCTCCGAAGACTTTGATCAAGGTCCGACAAACCCGACCACCAAATGATCCAAAATAAATCCAATTATTCTAGCTCCGCAATAGATCCTCCTACTACCTCCTCCTCTCCAGCTGCTAATCGTTCATACACATCCAGGTCTTTCCGCATTACAGCCTCGACCACCGCCTTCCCCGGCTGCCTCCAATGATTCACAAAGTGTTTCGCTATATGGGCATGCAGCGCAACCTGGCGCTTTGCATACGCAGCCATTCCATTCGCCAGTCCTGCTTCCACCGCCCTTCCGCAGTCAACCCGCTCTTGCCATTCGCGCTGTAATGAGACTAAGCTCCGCAGAACGCGCTTCATTTCCTCCCGCAACAGCCTCACTTCTTCATGCCATCGGTCCTTGCGCGCCAAAGCCTTGGCCCATTGAATCCGCACCGCTGTAGCGTCCTTAGCAAAAGATTCTAATTCCAGAATGCTTCCACTTACCATCATGTAGCCCCGGCTCTTGGTCTTCCGCTCGCACGGCGCTCCAGATCCAAGAGACGGCACCACCTCGCTGTCCCGTCGTTGGCTCGTTCCTGGCACGGCCGGCAGCTCCAATTCGACCCAACCGCAATCTGGAACCCGCATCGCTATCCTCCTCTCCATGAACATTCAAGTCTCCATCGTTCAGCTCCTGGAATTCGGCATGGTAGTCCGGTCCCATTAACCGTCGCAAAAGCAGCTCGTGCTTGCCGGTATTTAGTGGCTTCCCGACTTATCTGGTCGCCAACTCGAGAGATGAGGGTACTCGAACGGGTAGTCGCGCGCTGCCCAACAGAGTTGGCGTTTCGGTGGTGGATAAGATGTGTTTTGGTGTAAAGATGATTGCGGATATGTGAGAGTGCGTCTCCGCATTGCGCCACACGTAATTGTGTCTCGACTTCGATGAGACCTCGCCGACAACCTCTGCCACGTTGAGTGTCCGACAGGTCAGAAGGAAGCCACAGCTTGATATCTTCTGGCTGTACAGGTGGACGGTCGCTGTCACGGCATTGCTCCTCCTCCCATCGCCATCCAGCCACCCCCGGCATGAAGTATTCTTGTTGGCGCTTGTATGTTCTTGATTTTCTTGAGTAACGAAACCCGTAGCTCTTGGATCTGGCCAGTACGATTGGCGGTTAGGGTTAGATCTCCTCGCAGCTCGTTCTTAATTCGTCTTCTAAGGCAAATATATCAGTTCTCAAGTTTTGCTGAGAGAGAGAGAGGGACATACTTCATATTTTCCAATTGGAGAAGGCCTTTGACGAAGGCAGTCGCTGTCGCTGGACCCTCGACCGAATCCCCTCGACCTTCCCTTGCCTCTTCCAATTCAGCTTCTTTTAGCTTCGCAGCAACCTGCGCCTCGGAGGGCCGTACTGCAAATACTGTTAGCAGAGCAAGATAAAAGTCCGTATTGACATGTGCTTACCGCTGTCGGCCGCCATGAGATAAGGGTTGGGTTTCGTTTTATCTGCGAGCCAGTCCTTGACCTTTTGCATCCATATGCGCCAAACGTCGGGGTCTAGGCTATCGTCGACTTCGAGGAATTCTCCCACTTGCTTCTCCCTTTCCGCGACTGCAATGAGGAGCTTTCGCGCAAGGACAACGCCTGAAGATCGACATTTTAGACAGAAAACCACACCACATACATTACTCACCCTCTTGCACGTTCTTCTCGAAGTTGACATGGTCTACCTTGTCATCGATGGTGTCGTGTCGGTTGCCTTGGCTCATCTCCTTCGTCGCAAAGCTGATGGGGTTAAGCACTGCCCATGTTCTTTCGATCCCCTCTCCGTCCGTGCGCCCGACGCCAACAGCATAGTTGAGGGAGTAGGTGGCCTGGCACGTCTCTTCATGTGCAGCCGCATGCCATACAGGTAATGCGAACTCGATGCGGAAGTCGTCCAAATTTGCCGGCATATTTGAGTGTGACTCAATGCAGATGACGCGCTCCCAAAGCCGCACTTTCCATTGGCAGGCGATATCGTACGACAGGACGAGTTGCTTCACTTTTGCGTTGCGTAGCGCATGCATAAGGATATAATCCATGTTTGCGTAGCTGCCATTTGCCATGAGCAAACGTCATTATTCAGGCAGAACAACTTACCGCTCTCCCTTCTGTAGATCACCCAAACCTCCTGCCCGCACTATCCCATGTCTCGCACAGACACAGCCGCCCACACCAGACACTCTCAGCCCAGTAGTCAATCGTGTCTCTTTCTGCATCAAAGCAGCGAAAGCGATGCAGGTACTGACCTAGCACTGGATATTAGCACACAAATTACTTCGAGCAATAATATACGCCACTTACATCCTCCTCAGCGACATAATCGCGCAAATGCTCCTTGTATGGTCCTTCATCAACGAAATAGGACCATCCAGGGCCAAGAGAGCAATCTTGGCGCTCGTTCGCTCGAATACGGTTTTTAAGGCGGAAATTGGCGTCTAACGCTAGCATTAGCGCATAAAGAAATCTAGTAAAAACTTGGTAAGTCAGATTTAGGACCGGGCCCATCAGACTTACTCGTCTTCTGGCTTGCAGTTCTCCCAACCACTAGGCAGATTGAATCCCGGGCGGGGACATGCCCAGCACTCGACAGCAGCCAGGCCTGGCGCCACCGTCGCGACCTCCACAGTCCCATCATCTGCCGCTTCAGCCTCCGCATTCCAGCCCCTCTCATAGCCAATTCCAGCGTGTTTGACTCGCCGCAGGAATGCGTATTGTCTTGCCATCCTACTAAAAGCGCGATATCTGTCCTGTACTGTGGTCAGACTTTGTTGTAGGCGAAAAAGGATTGGAGGACTGACCGGTGTCTGACCAAGCAGAGTAGGATCAGTCAAGCGCTGCAATGACCCCACGAAATCATGCGCATTCACGTTGCCGACAACGTTGAGCATTCGGAATAAGTCAAGTGCCCGGAAGGTAGCACAAGTACCCAGCTCGCTTGAAGTCGCTGGGTACCAGCCATTGCCCATCAGCTGCCCGACAAGGTCAAAACTGAGCGACCTCGAACAGCCGCATAATCGGACATCGAGCGTGAAAACGCCATTCGTGTCGATAACAACCAGGGGCAGAGATGAACGGGGCAAGGGACAGGGCTTTCCGTGATGGCCAAGTTGGTACTCGAGGCGTAGACTTTGTTTCGAGGTGTCCTTCAGATGGATTCGGTGTAACGCGACAGGTTCCCAAAAATTATTATTCCATTCCTGTTATAGCATTAGTTTTCGCGCTCCCCCACATTACAAGGTTTCCCTACCTTCACAACGTGAAGAGGAGCATCCGCGTGGCGCTCTTTGAGACAAGACAGACATTGCAGCAGATGGACACCGCATTCCTGGCAGCGGAAGAGTCGCATCGTGTCGGGTTCGTGGGCGGCATTGCACAGTGAGCACGATGGACTGAGAGCATAGTCGCCGAGGCCATCTTGTCGCAGTAGGTTATCCAGGAAGATATGTTTTCGGCGGCGCCAGATGGCCATGGGGTCGTCCTGGTAAGAATTCTGGTTAACATGCGGGAGTCACTGTCTGGAGCGTCACTCACTGAGCTCTCGTATCTTGTCCTTGACGTGGGCACGTCGTAATCCTCGATGAAGTGTTGGAAGACCGCTGGTCGATTGTCGGAGTCCAATGTGCTAAGGGTATCGGCTATAGCGACCAATTCGCTTGTCTCCAGCGAAGCAGTGCCTTCGAACTCCGAGTACAAATCTTCCGTCGAGATGTCGTCCTCCAGACGCACTCGTTTTTGAGGAGCGACGTTGGCAACGGAGGCCATGGTATTCGAGTGGCCCATAACATGGAAGCTGAGGTCGGCAGAGGGGTTGGGCCCCGTGTTATTGAAAACGAAGGTGGATGTCGTTTCCCTTAGGCGCTTTCGGGCGTCCCATTGGGAGAAAGAGGAGCAGACAGAGCTGCGAGCAGTGGGGACTCTGGGGAGGGGGGCCATGACGAATGGCGACAGTCAGAGACAGGCCAAGCGAATACACGTGTATCATGATCGAGTGATTGATTCATTTCTCGGTCCGACCAACACGACAATTCTACCTATCAGCCCCCGTTCCGCCCACTTCTTGAAGTTCTTCATTTCGCCCCACCTCTACCACGACCGCGCCGTCCGCGCTGGAGCTCGACCGGTTGAGACCCACTCCGGCGTGTGCTGAACCTCTGAGTCTAATCCGGGTTAACTAACTGACAACTCTCGTATGGCTTAGAGTAGTACTTAGCGTGAAATTGGCAAGCCACATCGTAACTGATGTTTTGCCCTTGGTGGCGCCCGGAGTCCAGGGTTGTTAAGAAGACGTAATCGTGATTTGTGAATTCCTCTCCACGCATAAATTCTTGGTCTACAGAAGATGAGCCAACACTCGAGACGATGGTCCAGTGCATTACACTCAACTTGTAGGCATAGTGAGGAGAGCAAGCTAACTTCGTTATATGGCACTCTGGTTGGTCTTTAAATTTATATCGGTTGCACTCCTTGAGGATCAAATTCATCATGGATTGCGCTGCATGCTACTTCAGGATCCTACTTTATCAAATCCTCTCCTATTACAAGCGAGCCTTGCATGGGCGCAACGCCCTCCCGTCCTTCGGTTCATTGCGATCACGTTCTGGGGCCGCCGGAAGATCTGGGCAAAATCTGAGATGATGAGATGATTGAAACAGGAGTTGGCTTACTTTGAGTTTGTGGCCCTGGGTTGCCCAAAGCCGCGACCCAAGCGGTTTCGATGGCCTCTCCATTGATGCATCTCAATTCTGAACGCGTAAGTAAGCCATGTAAGACATGCAGGTCAGCTGAAATATTACCCAGAAGAGTTATATACGGGAGTCGGAGAGGGTTTGTCGACCGCATAGGTTCTGTAAATGTCTGCATATCGTCGTGGTCGTAGAAATGAAAGGCTGCTTTTGTGATCGTAGAAATGAAAGGCTGCTTTTGTGATTGCGCGTGGAAAACAAAAAAAAAAAAAAAAAAAAGATCTGTTCCTCTTACTCCATGTCTTCTTCACTTTCCCCCGCAACAGTCTACCTGTCCCCAACCAAAGGAACGGCGCGAGATAAGCCGCTCGACGATGCGAGCGTTGACCTCCTTTGTGCCAGGCGTAAGATCCAGTTTGTACTTTTGGAGGGTGCTCTCTGACGGTGTTAGTAGTGCCCAAGCGTTCTCGTAGAGACGATGAAGTTGAAGTGGGCGAGAAGAAGAGCGAATCGACCAAAAAACGCGCTCGAGCGTCCGAGGCAGCCGTCCACCAAAAGGAGGGAGCCGAAAACTCTCCTGCGACCTACGCAGTTGACGAGGAACAACTAGAAGAACGTGAGTTGACGTTTGCGCCCTGTGTGCTTTTCTGACAATATGCAGTAGTCTAGCGCGAATTGACCATAAAACGCGCTCGAGCCTCCGAGGCAGCGGTCCAAGAAAAAGAGCAGGTAGCGAAACGCCCGACTGGTGAGCAACTTGAATTCCGCGTTGTTTACGGCTAGTGTGCTGACAGTAGTCTTTTGTTGCTAGCTGCTGATATGAACGACATGAGTTACAGATTGCAGCGCCTGATAGACCGCAAATACCAGCGTCGGCCTAACCCCCCCCCCCCACCGCCTCAGAGTTGGTTGGCGAACGAGACTTCCCCCAAGGATTTCCCACATTGGACGAGCTGTACGCGAGCCTTTATCGACCCCCGGCACTGTTGAACGTGCTCCCAGTGTACAAATGTGTGCTCTGTAATAAGGTCAAGTCGAATCCTGTCTGGTTCGTCTGTATTTTTTGCGACTTAGGCAGGGCTGTAAACTGAATGAGATATAGGTTTCCGAATTGCAAGCACAGCACCTGTTATGTGTGCATTTTCATGCATCTGAAGGACCGCTGGGACTGTCCGGAGTGTGGGCGGCCTATGTACGGCGCCCCCCGGCGGGACTACGAAGTCGAAGAGGACGTTAAGTGGCAATACCCCAAACGGCGCGATTTGAGCTGCGTCACTTACTCCTTCGCCCGGTTCACCTTTCCTCGCCGCCCTATGACCCCCAAATAGTCTCTGAAAGTGTTGCTCGAGTAGATAGTGGTGCTTGTTGCATGTGTCGCTTGTCTATAGACTCAAAAAACGAGTTTTCGAGTATTGTGTGGAATTGGCAAACTCACCTCGATCTGGCTTTGAAGCAGTCCGCGATCTCGCTTTGAAGCAGTCCGCGGCCTAGAGACTTTGAGTGTGGCTTGCAGTATCGTCTGTGTGCTGGCTTAGTCGGCAAAGTGGAAGGAGTCAAGCGTGATAATGACAATTAGCTGTCAGCGAATTCTGTGGCGATGCGGCCGGGAGGTTCGGACCGTCTCTCGGGCCTTGACGCCCGGAGGGTCGGGTCATTCAGATTCGTCTGCTGTCGACCAAGATCTGGACAAAAATCCCTTCTAAGCGCAACTCTGGCTCTCGATTACGCGCCCGAAAAGGATAATCCAAAGCTCATCTGAGATGAAACTACTGCGTCCAGTCGGGTCATCGAAATTCGGCTCCTTATTGGTATCGAGCATGCTTAAAAGCCAAATAAAGTGAGAGCGAGGCTCGCCTCGGGTGCCCCCGTAAAAATGACCATGCTAAAATCCAAGACGGGAGACAAAATAAGACTCGAGAATTTGAGTGTGATGTTGGGTTATGATTTGTTACCAACTTGACCAGACATTTCATGCTCAATGTCGCCGCCCTCCCTTGCGTCAGCCAAACATGAAAGGATTCTCCTCAAAAATCACAAATACGACCATAGTGACCAGTAGGCCACACCTGCATCGCCAACTTGTGCTAACTTGCAACTCTAACAGCGGTCGACAAGTCAGACGCGAACGCATCTGCCCTAGATGCCGGGTGGCCAAGCACCACATCTCGCGAGTCTCTCTGCCGAATATAATTGAACTGTGGTGCTCCATCCCTCTGCGAGACGATAGCACATACAATATCTTCAAAAGCGCACTGGACAATGACCCTGACTTCAACGAGGGTGATTATGCTCACTGGATTGCCACCCCCCCTTTCAATGCTCCCGCCATAGCAAGCGCTGACGGACCGGACGACACCGACTATGAGGAATGGCTTATTTGTCTGGTAGACGGTTGCCTTCTACGACGAGAACAAGAGCGGGAAGCTGCCCTCAGGACCGAGCGTAGCACCTTGGGCAAAAAAGGACAAGCTCAGATCCACTATTCGAGGTCTACTCGAGCACGATTGGCCTCGACTACGCGCGATGGAGTTGATATACGAGACGGGGAGTCGAGAACACAAGATATACCAACGCCATATGATCTTTTTGGCGCCCAAATATACCGTATGTACTATCTACGTTTTACATGACGGCGTTTCATTCCTCTATCTGTGATGGTCTGGCTTGGCCCAGCGAAGTTGGGGGGAATCATCGTGATCAGCGGTCACTCTTCCTCTTAACACTCATCAGGACATGCCGGTCCAGCGTTACCCAGCGTTTATCACCCATTTCTTCTCCACTCCTCCGACCTGCGACGACTCGCTACGTCTACGACGACTACGGGATGACCCAGAACTACCGCCCGGCGCGGTCCACTCGTTCATCGACCCAGTAGCTGGCAACCATTACCAGATTGCTCTTGCGGGAAGAATCACTGGCATGGTGCAGGAGCGCCAAGAAAAGGTATGCTATATGCTATGCCGTCCTAGCTATGTGGCTGAGTGAAACTCGCGTTTAGTTCCTGGTTTTGGAGGCACTGCCGGGACAACACCTAATCGAGGACTTCCAAGAGATGATAGTCGCGCTCGATTATGTGCAACGGCGGGCGCTGCGTGCAGACCGACGACGGAGGACGAAAACGAGCGTTGGCAAGAGCTGGACCAATAGCGACTCGGACAACAGCTTGGACAGCGGTTGTATTTATGTCCATCTCACAGGCCGAACTTGTCTGGTGAGTTTGTATATTTAGTGGTTGCTCTACACTGACAGCGCGTGGACCAGACAACTCATGCTTGGGAACACGATGAAGAATGGATTCAGGTGCCTAGCAAGCTTCCAGTCGACCCGCTTGCAATCGGCGCTACTATCTATTGTGTCGCCAACATGCTTCAAATTAACAACGAGTCGTATGACGATTCTTCCCTCGTCCACAAGGTATGCTATGTTTGTCCTCTATGTGCCTACCTGAGCTGAGGTTTGCAGCAATGGGTACTGAAGTGCCGTTTCCTTTGTCGTATTCACTTCCCCAAGGGCCCAGAAGGCCGAACGACTGACGCCGCCATGTCGAGTATTCTGAGCGGACAGTTCCACATGCTGCCAGTGCCCTCCTGTGACGAGTTGCCCATTACACTTGTAGAAACTGAATACTAGGCGATAATAAATCATTTTGATTGTCCACTAAGTACCGTACAAAGCCTTGTCAAGTTTTGTGCAGCAGCGGCAGCGATGGCGGTAGCGAACCATCGCTCCGTTTGCTCTCTTTTTGCCGGTCGGGTCATGTACTCCCTCTGCAATGGTGAAGGGTTTCGGGGATCGACTGCTAAGATGAAGTGTTGGACGGCGCCAGTGATATCGTAACTAGCAACGGCACGGCAATGAGGGTGTCCCGGCTGGATCTGCTCAATCGGTGATACAACGAGATGAATCATCTCACCTGGCTTGCAGTTGGATGCGGAGGAAGCAGAGTATGCTGGAGGGGGAGAAAGCCCCATGCATGCGAGGGAGGAGTACTGCTGGTGCGGGACATGAGAGTCGAGGAAAAGGGCAGACTTATCTGATCATGTACCTTCCCGGTTTCCCCCCCAATGAAAAGGGTTCGAAAGTCTTGGCGGTCTGTGTGTCGAGAAATGCCACGGCGAAACAGCAGAGGTGGATCACGTTCGTCCGTTTTCGTTCCGTTCGTCCGTTTTCCGACTTGACAACTCTTTCGTCAACCAAGTTCTGCAGTGTGGAAATGTCAGATCCCAGCCCACCACTCGACACTGTCGACTC